AAATCGTTTTCGTTCTCAGCCGTCAGGAACCCCCAAAACCCTTCAGAAAATCCCCGTCACACTGTCTGTGCAAAGCCCCCTCCCATTCCCCCACCGCTGTGTTTTTTCAGCCTCGAAAAGCTCCAGCCTTCCACAGTCCCACATTCTTTCTCCCAAACTTCTCGCTCTCATCCGACAACAATCCGCATTGCGTTACCCCATACACAGCAAAACATTGCCGTTCTGTGTGCCAAACACCTATCCCCCGTCCCGTCATGTCATGTCAACATATCAACCCGTCAATCAACCCCACTGAACTCGCTCTCCACCAACCCACCGACTTCGCACCACACACATTCCTTGTCCCACACGCTCCATATGCCGTGTCCAGACGCACTGCCGCGCCCTTTCCCCCCGTCGTACGCGCGGGAATGCGGCAGAGTGCTGCCGGGCATGTTCGAGATGGTCGGCGATATGCAAGGGATGCCGGTGCAGCGAAGGAATTCTGATACGTGAAGCGGAGCCCGATTCGACGTGGGGACTTGGGTTGGGTTGGGCCGGATAGCTGCGTTGGCTTGGGCTCTTTATACATATGTTGTTTCTGGTTTGTGTTGGGGGGTTGTACGGTCGGTGTAGTTGGGCGTGATTGGGTTTGGATGGGGTGTCGGTGTGGGGGAGTGGAGGGGGAGTCGTACTGATTGTGTATGTTTCAGAAGGGTGGATTCTGGTATGGTACGATTTGGCATTCGTGTGGTTGTTCGCTTGCTTTCTGATAGGATAGAGGGAGGTTGTACGGGTTTTCTTTGCGGGAGAATGTTCTCGATTGTGGATGGGAGAAGGTTGTGAGATGGGAGTCTTGCATCGGGCATACCTTCCTGTCTGGAAAGCGTTAGGCATGGGTTTGAGATTGTATGGTTTGTTGTCTACTCTATATGGTTTATGTTCGTCTATACCTCGTCGTTTGTAAGATACATACGCTCATGATATCCGTCCGACTGAACACGTACGTGCTCACCAACTGTGGAATTCATCGTTGCGAAGACCACATCTGCCATCACTACGCCTTTAAGACTCCACCAACCTATCATCCTCATCGAACCACCTCACCGTCCCCTCAGACCTCCCCAGCTCCAACTACAACGCCCTAATACCACGACAAGTCACTACCAAAACCTCCTGTCTGGCCCCACCGTCCATCGACCCCAGCATACGCACCGCAATACAACACTCGCACGCGCTCCAGACTCCATAACTCATATAAATCCAGGTTTGATGAGAATATAGACTTGGGCACGTTGTAGTGATTAGTGCATACTCGAGCAACGAACCCTCCCTACCATCTCGTCTCCATATCTTGCGTGTCCCTGGGTATGACATATCGTCGTAGCTAGGTCGTCTCATGTGGTCGGATTGATCTAGGCCAGTGCCATGAGACTTTAAGCCAGCAATGAAGGCATAGCATGCTGTTGCCTCCGATCCCTCAAAGAACTCCTGTGCAGGGCATCAATATGAGACGCCCTCAAGGCGCGTTGAGCTCGACATACACTTGCCGTCAACCTCGGCAGGTAGTAAGAGATCACTCTCTGCCCCGTAGTCTACTTCCGCAAATCCGTCGTATGGATACGGAATAGTATCCACCAGGCTCGAAATCCGGTTGTCTGATAGCCAAGTCAAACAAGCAAAGACGATGTTGGGTTTGCTGTGTGCATCTGCTGTCGACTCATCACCTTAGGCGGCTCTTCGTCTCTGTTGTAGTGTCGCTTTGGGCTAATGTTAAGTGTGTAGTAGTTTTCGTACCCGACAATCCCTTCTTTTTTTGCTCTCCCGAAGGAAGGACACTTCTCGTGGAAATCGGTATTGGGAGATGTGCGTGGATCGTCGAAAGAGGATTTGAAAATCGAGGAGAAAGGAAATCGTATCTTTGGAGGACGATAGTCTGCTATAGTGGTATACTACAGTACTACACGATAAAATGCAGAACCTGTGCAACATCTCGACATTAGAGACCAAAACTATGCGCCCAAAAGCGACGAAAATTAGACTATCAAGTTCAAACACCGTAGGTCCAAAGACAAAAGACGGAGCAAAGCCTACTAGAAGTAACTCACTCTCACGAATTGGGGCGATAGATAGGCAACAACAGTTTTCGTTGGGGTACAAAATCAAATACAAGAAAACGATTCTCTTATAATCAGTGGCATTGTTCTCTGTCTGCCTCGCAGGTCATAAACCACCAAAATACGCAAACTATGATGCTACACAGCTACATATCACCGCATCTCCCTTCGCGGTATACTAAATATCTGAAGGTTGTTCAGAGAAGGGATATGGCCCGTTAGGGATTGTCTCTTAGTACGCGTGCTCCATGAGCTGCCTCATCACCAACAGAGCTATCGTACCAGCCACCCTGTGTACCGCTCACGGGCCTCCATTGAAGCTATGTGCAACGTACGTTGGTATTATAGTTGTAGTCGAGATCATCATGTCTTCGAGCGGGTGTTCCCAATCTGTAGTGCCTATGCAGGCGATCAGACGGAGGATCAACAGGCCTTCGTTGACTCTGGAACCACGCAAGGGTCTAGTAGCAACGATCTGACCGTCGGTAGCCCTGACTGAGAGTATTGGGCCCTAGAGTAGCTTGATGATAGGGCATGTGGTATGGTTCTGTAGTAGTAGTCTCTAGCTCTAGGGCACTCGCAGGGTATTTTCTGCCAGCGACGCTAGGACGGTTTATTGTTGATCCGTCCCGTCTCTACCTCCTTTGTGAACAACACGCTGTTCTGCCCACTGCTCGAGTCCACAACTCTTATTTTATATATCTGCGTAGCGGGCCACGGTAAGTTTGGAACGATGCAATGTGTTGTATGGACGATTGCAGGAGGTCATGATGAGTCCTAGTAGGGTGTCAATCATGTACTAGCAATCATGAAAAGATTTACGTCGTACTTGCTGTTGAGTGTTTTCTTGTGCTTGGTGTATTTTTCTGCGAAGTTTTTTTTCTTGTGCCTCGTTGATGTTTATGCTTTATGGTAGGTCGTCGAGTGTTTGATCCGAGCGATCAGTGCGAACGGGGGATGTAAGAGCATGGATTTGTGGATCATCGAAGTAGGATCTAGGGTTCTGAGGAGGATGCCAGATGCAAAGGACGTAAGAGCATGGATGAAATGGACAGGGCAAGTGCAGATGGTGGACGCGTCGACGCTCTCGACTATCGTTCAATTAAGGCCCTTGTCGTCCAGTCTGCAATCCGCCCTCATGGGTATGCCCTCGGCAAAAACAAAACGACTCCAAGGCTAGAGAAGAGATCGAAGCCTCTCGCAAGCATAGAAGCCTCACTATTAGGAAGCGATGGTATAGCGAGATAGCAAGCTGTGCCCGGCGCCTGGACAGCCCAAGACGCTCCCTCGTCTGGCCCGCTTAGGGGCTGTGCCCTGGCAAGGACACGACACTGAACGCTGAATGCTCCTATCTTCCCAGCGAGCATCAAGCTCTCCTACCCCTCTATACTACCCCTCTCTATGTTAAAGACACCTTTGCAATAGGGAGTACTTCGGCATAAGCCCAGTCCTATAGGCTTTTCGCGGAGGGGTTTCGTGGTACTCTATCTGGTGTTCTTGCAGATCTGCTCTCGTTGCAGACAGCAAGGTGGGCTCTCAATGCTCTGCCCGGGAGCTCGCGCATGCTGACTCACCCCCTCAAGTATTTATTGAACCTCACACGTACTGTTCAACGATAACTTGAACAACAACTTTTGTGACAACACATTCTGTTTTCTCAAGTTACACACTATCAAAACACTTTCAATCATCTTTCTCAATCATCTTCAAGATGATTTCTTTCGCCACAGTCATCTGTGGACCTTGGGGCCGCTCCCAGAGCACCCCTTCCTCAACGGTGGCCGTATACAGGCCCCTGCGTCCCTGCCACCGCCTTTCGGTGGTGGCAGAGGCGCGACGGGTAGAACGGTCGGTTGGGAAGGGGTTCCTGGGGCGGAAAAAGGTAAGGAAAGAGAAGGAGAAGAAGGAGGAGGTGAAGGGTTTGGGAGGGAAGGGGTGGTGGAGGAACAAGTGGGACATGGAGAAGTTGAGGATGAGCAGGGCTCACAAGTAGATAGACACAACAGGTAGGTCTCCCCGACATTCATTTGGCACTTTCAGCACCTTATATAGTTCCCCTGGGCATCGGTAGATAGTGGAGTCAAAGTCCTATGCGCGGCGTCCTCGTCGCGACTCTGGAGACTTCTGTAACCATGAAGGTTCAGATGAGCTGACAGCGCAAGGCACCTGTATGATAGTTGTAGATAGAACAAATATACTTGACTTGACAATCACATTCTACTATAGCCATCAGAGCTTTAGCAGGTTCTTCCGTTCTGGCCGTTGTGAACATGTGATGGCATCTTGACAGCAGCAGAAGGAGCGGTACAAGACACGTTGCAAAACAACTTGAAAACTTATGAAAAAGCAGTTCTCTTATGATAGGTACACGAGGAAACTACTACCCAATAGTATAAGACGCGTTTCCTCCTGCTAATGCATCTATGATATGAGATATCCAGTAGCCTAGAGAGCGATTTTGCTTAACTCTGAACCCCAAAAACTCATTAGAGAACAGCGTCAAATCAAGTCCTCTACGTGATCTTATCCTATATTACCGGTATCCAACGCACTTGGAGGCGATTCCTCGACTCGCAATCACCTTAAATACTGTTTATCCATCACCCAGAACGCCGTTGACTCACGCCTGTTGAACCAGATAATGTACGCAAAGCACCTTAAAATCCGCTTTCTCTACGCTTCTATTCTAAGGAATGACCTATCCAGATATCGTACGAGTCCTTGTCCTATCCTCGACTACCTAAAATCTGCTCTCGAGCGGTCCGTAAATCCATCTTCGCCTCGGTGCACACAGCGGGAACGCAGGATTACGTAACACAAAAGACGAAAATATAGTAATGGGCACAAAAATCAACAAGCATAGATGATATCCAAAGTGCCAAAAAGAGTCAAAGACAGCAAAGTGTTTATATGAATATATGTACATAACGAACAAAATCCCTTCAGAATGTAGGTACAACCAGTATCAAGTATTCAACGATCAGAATCCCCTTTCCTCAATTTTACGTGTCTTGATCGTCCCATTTACCTAAACAAGTCCCTGGCATGGTTCCTTTCCCCGCCATGCTTGAAGTACTTGTGCAGTATGTACGAGAGCCAGTCGAGAAGATCTTTCAACGTAGTACCTTCTGGTAGTGGAGGTGTATTAGCATCGGAGCCAGGGGTCGGGCTTGGAATGGCAGGGAAAGGACTGTTCAAAAAGCCAGACGGAATGACTGTAAGAATCTCATCGATCTGAGAAACAAGGGCGGTAGGCAGTACGACGCTCGAAGTGGGTGTGGTATCCGCCGCAACCGCAGCAGTGATGGCAACTGGTGAAGGGGCTAGTAATTCATCGGAGGATGATGCAGGAGCAGCAGTTGGAGCGGCGCAGTCGCTGACATCGATGTAACTTGTGACTGTGATGATCGAGGACGGAGATGCTTGAGTGATGGGCTCAAATGCAGACGTAGGAACCACTTCGGACTTGATCGAAGAAGGTCCTGAGGACGGGACCACAACAGGAGACGACGTAAATGCGGAGCTTGGTAGCTGAGAAGGGTCGACAGGAGTGGGAGACAAGGTTGGAGCCACGCTCAATGTACCTCCACTTGGCTGCGCACCAGATATTTCTCCTGAGATGAGGGCCGGACCAGGGATTGTGTACTCGATGGGTGCTGAGTAGAGGTTGAACAAAATTCCAGGGTCGGTGGACTTGTATAAAGCAGTACCTGCTACGCCGGCAGGATTGTTGGCGCCAGTTCCTGTGACTTGCAGGTTGATACACTGAGGATAGTTCTGGGCGCCATTATCTTGTCCAGCAGAGTGGAGAGCAATTATCTCGTGGCGAAGCACATAGTTTCCCGGCGCGATGTCGGTTGGAATCGTGACTTCCCAAGTATTGTTGTTGGCAATGAGTTCATCAGATGCCCATGTACCAGGCGCGGTAGATCCGTCGACAACACCACCTTGACTAATTTTGAAGAAATTCAGAGATGTCTTGTCAACCGCGGAACAATTCCCTTCGCAATTGGCCAGATAGTCAATCACAGGCCCATGATGACTTTCCGGCCAGACCGACCAGAAAAGAGAAACAGTGCCTCCGGCTGCGACCTTTGCAGACGCTCCTCCAGGGGTCGCTCCTTTATGGCAGATGATATCAGGGTTGGCGTAAGCATCTGGAGCAACAAATCCATTGTCTTGTGTTTCAGGGGCAGTCCATCCGATGACAGTAGGAGGGCTTGGCTGATACTGAAAGCTAGGATCGTATCCTTGGTACCAGACACCATCGGCAACGACCTCAATGACACGACCATGAGCCGCGACCGAAGTAGCAAGGGCTCCGATCAGAGCAGAAACTTGAAGAACGAACATGATAAGACAGATTCCAGATCAATGATAATGAATGTTAAAAGATAGTGTGTCGTTATTCCAGCTTCAATCTATGAAGAACGATGCGAGTAAAGAGTGTGAGGTCAACGACCGAAGAATGCAAGGCTTGTTTGGAGGAAGAGCGTAGAGAGTTTGAAGACAGGCGGCTGTACCTGTTTTATATCTGTTTCTCACAGCGATGAACTTTCGAGATGCCTCCGCCAACCATTACGTGCAAGCTCTGAAGTTGAGGCGGCTAATCGCAGCTGTACTGTCGCTATGGGAGTAAGATCATAATCTAAACAGCCACATGTTTCGTATCGCCAATGTAGGTGTGTTTGCGTCCGAGGAATATTCGGCAGTTGTGGTTAGATTGATTGTATGACAACGGGTGCATGTCTGAATCGGACAAGCACGAGGTACATGACTCTTCTGATGCTCAGAGGCAAGTCAGAAAAATTATGGTACCGACGTCGTTTGAATTGAGTGGAAGGACGTTCGATGGATATCAGGCGGGTAATGTTTGCAACTATTGCCTGAGGCAGAAACAAGGGGCTTTCATCTAAAACTTTTCATCTAAGCCACTGATTAAATTCTTAGGATACACAGCCTAATAGTCAATCACCATGCCACGTATCCTCACACACTTCTGAGATCTCATATGCCAGATACATGTTTTATTAGTACACTCCAGAGACTACGTATATTTGGGATCTTACCAACACTGTCAAACCCCTGGTCGCCTCCATGCGATATGCTATGAAATGCATTCCTTACCGCCTTCTGTATGGCCATGGTTTATTCGAAGTTGGCGCTAAATCGATGAATAGATCTCACGTTTGCCCGATCTACGTTTACCGCCCAGATGTTCCGTCACCCTAGTCAGGGATGAAACCTTATATGTGACAGCCATTCGTCTCCACCACGGCCCCGCCTTCTGGGATGCTATCCACTGAAAAATATAGTTTTTCCGTCTATCAGGAGACCCGGCATTTCATGTACTTGATTTGCCTCTCTTATGTCAGCCGTGTGCGCAAAGAGTGTAGATACCTCTGAGTCCAATTCTTGTCTTTTGTATCTTCGCAGCTCACTTTAGTGCTAGAAGATGCACAAATATTTTCTTTTTACTGCCAGAGTCGAAAGTCTTCCCTATTTTTGTACCGCGTGTGAGAATTTCGATGGCTACGTATATCGGGTTGCTGTTGACTTTAACTAGAGGCGACAACTAGTAACTGTAAACAGCCGCTGGACAGACATACTCTTACGAGGTTCAGATGATCGACGCCTTCGAGTATATCGCTCTCTCTTCCTTCACCATATTCCATCCAGCTTCTTATCTCAAGTCTTGAGAAGCAACAATAGATTCTTTGGGTGAGAATCATGACCACCTCTGTCGACTTTCCAACCTGCTGTCTACCCTTCTTTATCCTTCTCTTAGAATTGTTTTGATCAGCTGTGATCAACTCGAAATCCCAGTTTCCTCTAACTCGTTTTCTCCGTACAGAGTCTTAAGATTCTTCTTGTGTCAAATCTGCTATGTTTCGTCTGATCGAGAGGGTCATCCATGCCGGACGTGGTGCAATCTTTCAGTCAATCTTGCTATGACATAGTGCTCTCAGGTTTGCGCGAGAATCGTGGTATCGAAGAATCTGTATGTGATGGACTTATGGGAGTTAGCTTTCAATCCCTGATGGCATTATGTGAGTATAAATCACGTTTGACTTTGTGGTCGTGCCACAATGAATTCGTGTTGTGTTCTACCGGTCACAAAGCTTGGTCCCAATATCATAGCTTTGTTCTCATTGTAGTTCAGAGGTCGAATTTTCACTGCCTTTGCAATCAGCAGCTTTCGTATTCGATTAAGACTCTCATGGGTATCGGTCTTACAAACATACTGTCTGTAACCAAGCGATAGTGAGGCCATTGTAGTAGGACCGTACTCGATTCTTGCTTCATGGTCATCCCTGCCGCAGTAAGAACAAGTGCAAGAGGGTTTATTTCAAAGCTGTCATGGCTGCAGTTAGTACAAGTTCTCATCTTCATCTTGAAGACTGACTCGGTATGTGGTTTCAGAAATCACAGAGGCATGTAAGGCGCAGAGAGGAACTTCAGAGTAACTTTGGAGTGGATCTTCAAGAGACTGTGTGAGAACGTGAGTGGGTGTAAGTGTATCGTTTTGGTGAAAACTACCTCTGTGAACTGTAGACTCAGTCCGAGACGACGACTAAGGGCTCGGGAACCGCCCGCAAGACTGCCGCGCCAATGCTGCCGTAAGTGAAGAAGTCGCTATGCACAACCTCATCAACTTCAGTAAGACCAGAATATTTAGAATTCTATCTATATAGTTCTGTACATAGGAATTACGAGTGAAATCAGCCTCGACCAGGTCACTATCTTAAAGAGACTCAGAGTTGAACTGGAGTGCAAAAGAAGTCGTAATACACAAGTTAAAGATCACGTTTCCTTCAGAGTTGAACCAGGAGCGTAACCGACCAAAAAAATCTTCGGGATACTCTGAATAGGCGTGTCTTTGTTCCCTGCAATGTTACTATTTGACCAATTGCCCGAAGGCAAAGCTTCTTGGAAATGGGAAAACTATATTTTGTGATTCTGGGACTTTGGTTTCGAAATCACCTGCACAAGAAACCCGTGCTATTCCGGTCTCGATCTTCTACGCATCAGGCTCCCGTCACCCATGTCTCCTCAGAGTATCACCAGCGCTCCTTTGCCAAGCAGTACGCAGATACGCTCCTTGCTGCCAACGAATACACGGCACAACCTCACGAAAGGGGTCGCAGTTCCAACTTGGCTGGTAGACAATACAAAACTTCCGGGATCAAAACAACAGCCCTTCGTCCTCCTTCGCCTTCGTTATGATAACACGAGCCTTTGGACAGCTGAAGTTGGAGAGTGTGCACAAACGTAACTGAGAAACGATAGTATTAAGTATCCCAAGAGTATACAAGTACATCACGACAGCATATCTGTTGCTGATCACCATACTGCCCGATTCTTCTGATCTGGCTACCCAGGATCAGCCATCACCGAATCGGCTCCACCGGTTTTACTCCCTGCACATTGCCAGCGAAATATGGTTCATCAGGATATACGATGTCTGGCTCTCCTGGATACCCGGGCTCTCCCTGCTGTGGCTGATGCCAGGTACGTATAACATAGCCCTTTGCGGTGACAGCGAACTCATCTGCGATAGCACGCTCTGGTGTGCATCGCTCACCATGCACGAACGACTCCAACCCTGGCTCCTCGAATCCGCAGACAATCCAGAAAGAGTACACAGGGGCGCTTGAGAGAGGATTAGTCAAGCAAAGAGTCAGAGGAAAGGGAATCCGAGACATACGCAAGCCCTACAATGGCACCAAGAAAGAGAGGGACACGCATTTCGATACTGGCGAAAAAGCTTGAGAATATTGTAGCAGGACTTGTCAGAACGAGCTTCAGAAATGAAAGAGTACGGATTTTACCAGTCATAAAAGAATCGCTCCTTTGTTCTTATAGTTTGTTCTCCAACATAATATTACTGCAATGCTGTTTCACGCGGTTTTGCGCCGTGAAACAAGCACCTTACCGTCCTGCATCTACGATCCGAAGCACGTCCCATTCTTCTCTACGAGACCTAGACCTATCTGTGCTGCTTTGCCGTGCCACAGCTATGACTGGTGCCTATACAAAGGATATCATGGCCTAATTACTCATACAATACAGCTGGCTTTGTACTCCCTAGTTCGCGACAACCCAATTTTTCCTCCAAATATATCCGTATCCACACTTTCCAATAATTGACAGAATCACTGAAAAAACAGACAGGCTTGAATGTGTGCACTTTTGAATCGGGGAAAAATAGCAGTTCTTGTACCAGGTGTTCAGACTCATATCCACCGTCGCGCCTCCCGTGTACAGCAAGCCGAGCGAGATCTTGTCCTACACTTGTGTCCATGTTCTCACCTCTTCAATACAGCAGTATTGTACCTATGTCATACAACGCCGAATCACCAACGGGTCTGTTCGTTGTCTATACCAATGCCCTTCTCGACAGTTACCTTGCGGAAACACTGGCTCTGTACAAGCACCTCAGGCGTACAATAATCTTTCCGAGACTATGTGCTCGACCTATATATGCCAGAAGATCTTTCAACCAGAGTCCAGACCGACCGTCATACAAGCTATCAGGATCCATGGCCTCCCCATTACGAAGCACATGGACCTCCCATGCTTAAATGGCACCTCCATAACATACAAGCATACTCTCGCATGGCTCATTTGCACTTAAAGCTTCAAGAAGACTTTTTCGATGGCCAGAACTTCTAAACCACTCAGTCACTCCCCTCTCTCCCCCTGGACTCATAGACAAAACTGGTTAGATAAGTACCAAGATCACTTTTAACACACAACTAGCATTACGGACTGACATGTTTTCTCGTTAGCTACTATACCTACATACCCTCTTGTGCTACCGAAAAGCATCATTTTCGCTCATTATCGTATTAGGCCACCAGATATCCTGTATGGTGCACACTCCCATAACCGGTTCGTTGGTCTCCTTGTACCACTCTGTGATGATTGACTGCTTCTCGCTGAGCTGACTCTTGCTAGACAAGTTCTCATACTCTCGCGTACCTCCTCACTCTCGCATAGTCGAGGGCCTATACTTGCATGACCTACTTCCACTGACACCCCTCTACCACCTTACGTCGTTACAACACATATCTACCGTACAAACCACCAATACACTCTGCTCAGTCACACCCTCTCCCGAGAACCCAAATACAACCACGCACGCACACATGACCCACCCTCTCCTTTTCCAGCTACACTCTCATTCAAGTCCTACACCAAGACCAGAACAATCGTCCTACGCGTGTCAAGACACCCCAAACAGAACAGACCATACCAATTCAACTTTCACATAGCTCCCATCTTCCCTTCCTCCCTTCCCTCCCCCATAGTAATATAACACCAAACAAACATACATACCAACGTAGTACCCAACCACCCCTTATACTACACCCATCACTCCAGACCTACCAGACAGACAGGCCCAACACCGCTCGAAATCGACCCCCTTTCGATAACCATACCACACCCTAGCTCTCGAACATCGAATCCATAAAAACAGAAACTGTGTCGTATTGACTGTCACCCTTTTCTTCGTTCAAAACACAGCGTACTATGCAGCGTCTTGAGGAGTGGATGATGGGCCTTCTACCGTGTATATCTTCCTTCCTTCCTTCAGATAACCTTCGGGATATCTCTCTCCCCCCTAAGCAAATGTTATTTCCATGAAAAAGAAACTGGAAAAAGAGGATTGTTCGGTTCCCAAACAAGATCAACGAGATTGCGACAATCCAAGGTACTCAGCATAGTCGCAAATGGAGTTTTTATCGGTTTGCGCCCAAACTTCACACACATGGGAAGCGTGTCAAAAGCTCACGTCACCAATGAAGCAAGCTTTGCACGTTAACGGACGTACAAACGTACCATAGATCTAGATAGACGTAGACATAGGATGGGAAACAAAGCAATCACACATATCTTATCATCCATCACATTCATACCAGGTGGGTGCACAAGGAGAAATTTCGAATAACCACGATTTGCTACATCCAGTGGAATAACAACCAATCCATGCATTACCATGTCCATCGCAAAACAAGCTCCACAACCCACCACATCAGCTAGTACCACAACAATTGTGCTTCCCATGCCGAATCGTGATTTCTCCATCCGTAACAAACATTGCCCTATGATAGTCTCGTCCCATAATAAGCAAGACTTGTTTGTCCCCAATTTCGTGATTTTTATAACAAAGCAGTAATTCAAGGATGAAGAAGAAGTAACTTGCTGACCTAAGCCCTGGCAGACGCGCCTTCACGCACGGAAGAGCCAACACGTGCAGATGCAGGTGGTCTTGAACGTGAAGAGGGAAAGAAAGGAAATTGTGGTGACGTATCGTGAAAGCAAATATAGGAAATGCGTGTCAGCTTTACAAAGATTAAACCTCGCCCTCGCCCCTCAGATCAAAGTGCCACTGTCCGAAGCCGTTCTCTTCTTTGACAGGTGTACAGTATTGGACTGGATAGGTGTTGGGTTGTGAGTTTGGCTTATCAGAGAGACACGGTGCTCGGACGTATGATACCAGACGTTGTCTTCATGAAAGGTCGTATGCATGCTTGAGGGGGTAATAACAGTGTTGAAGTTGTGGGTGAATGCAGGTACATCGTCGTAAGGGGGCCGAGAAGCAAAGCCAATGCATGGTTGCTGTGCTTCTGTCAAAATCGAAGATCGAGTTTACAGACCGAGAAAGGAGATGAAGAATATCGTGCCGAATGTTGTACAACAGGGTTTGTCTTCGTGGCGGTTCGTGAAATGGAAACTCCGGAAATGGATGCACATCAGGATCTAAGTGTAGAATCGGCCGTGATGTTATGCTGTATGTATTGAACGCTTGGTCGAAGAAATGACGAGCTGGTGGTAGTACGTCTGAGATTGCCGCCGGTGCGTAGGAAATGAGAACGGTTGTTGATGACAGTTATACAGTCGCTACTCAAAAGTAACCCATGTTGTTGCCCATGCCTCCCGCATTGCTGTTCATGTTACCGCCGTTCATGCCGTACGAAGCAGCAGCACGCCCGAAGGATTGGTGCTGACTGTTCTGGAATCCAGGTTGGGTAGGATTGCCAATGCGCTGGGGGGACTGGTAGCCGTTTGCCAAGCCGACATATGGGTTCTGCGGGCTCTGGATGTTTGGATTATATGGGACTGCCTGAGATGCATGTGGCGAAGTCATTGGCGACGTCGCGAGCGATTGGGGATCGATCAGTGCGGGACCACTTCCTTGAGCAAGACGCGCTTCGCGGTCCTGGATTTTGGTCTGGATACGACGTCCGTACGGAGTCTGGCGGATTCCTGGAATAATTGGTCGCATTGCGTCAATCAATCGAATGCAAGTATCATTATCCGCGTAGTCCAACGCCGTTTGGATGACGTAATTGGCATACGGATCGCGCATGACGCCTTCAAGCTCTCCAGGAAGAAGAATTTCGTCAATCATGACACGCTTTATCTCATGAGCAGCCACGCGGATGCATTTTTCGATGACATTCGAGCTAAACTTTTGCTTGGACAGTTCCACAACTCTGCCCATAAATTTTACGCAAAGTGGGTGCGTAAACTTCTGCTCAGCGAGGTCCACTAGTGATCCTTTTAGCAACTGCCGATGAATGAGGAACTCGGGACGAGAACTTACAAATGTATTGAACGACGTAATTGCCGAACGGATCCTGAACGAGTTTGATGCTTGACTCACTGATCTGATGGATCAGCATATTCTTCTGGTCTCCCGATGCATGGTCGATACATCTTTGCAAAACGCAACAGCCATGACGGTGAGTGCCGACTTCGACGCAATTGTTGCCAACGGCACTGAAGATGAACTGGGCATCCTGAGGCTTAAGATGATTGAGACACTTCTGAATGACGTGATTGCCGTTGAGATCCTGGATCAACGCAACTACATTTGACTGCAGAGCCTCGATGATGGTAGAAATTTGCTCAGCGTTCAGGATGTACTCAATCATCTTCTGCAAAGCCCGAGTACCATGCTGATTGAGCGCAATTCCGACCATGGAAGGGGCGGCGTTCTTGATGAGCACAGTGCGCTGGTCATCTTTGGTATATTCAAGCAATTTCTGGCAGAGGTAGTTACCAAATGGGTCCGTCATGAGCTCAATGACTGCGTCTTTTGTCTCCTCAAAGATTGCCAAGGTGAAGTCTTCATTGCGTTCCTCGAGCTTCTTTTGAAGGAAACGACATCCGTACTGATCTTTACAGAGGGCCAAGATTTCATTGCGCTGCGTGTCAAGGTCAAAATCTTGAAAACGATTCTGCTCCTGACCAGCCGTCCTGCGGGATTGAATTACACGGGGCTGACTGTCGTTGAACCGACCTCCAGCAGCGTAGGCTTGGTACGTCGGACCGTATTGCGTGTAAGGGTTTTGATACATCTGAGGAACGGCACCCTGCGCCCACTGGCCTTGCTGGGGAACAATTTGTTGGTTCATCATATTCATTCCATATCCACCGAAAAATGCTGGAGCTCCGTAAGGGCCCATCATGGCACTGTTCGGGGTTGCGTTGACCGCGGCAGGTGCATTCGTTGGCGAAGCTACACCAGAATTGAAGGGCGCAGCACTCGCATGGAGTGCAGACTGACGAGTTACCGGACGCTGTTCTTCAGCTTGCGTAGTGGTAGCTGTCAAGTCTCTACTCTGACGATTGCTTGGGACACCTGTCGGGATACGACCAATGCTTGCATTATGGTTGTGGTAGTGGTTTTCAGCGTGCGAATTGGCCGTGCTAGGTGTGATTGCACCTTGGCCGCCATTGATGCCATTAGGGTTCTTGACTGTAGGAATATCGTTAGTGGAAAACGAAGATTGCAACTTTGGCATTGTAAACGAGCCGTTCTGTGCCGCATGGGCGGATGCTCTGTTTGACTGTCCGAATGGGCTGAACTTCAAATCCGAAGATCTCCTGCTGTTTCCAGGGCCAGCCATGTTTCTTGACGATGGCTCGGTGCGTTCTACAGGTGATGAAATGTTCAGATCTTCCAACTGCTGATGAAGATTGTTCATCGGGAGGCTTGACTGGGATTGGCGGTGACGAGATGCGAATGAGCTCCAACCGGTCTGTGACTGAGGTTCAGTACTAGGCGATTGTTCTGTTGCAGAGTCTAGAGCAGAGTACTGCATCGTATTGTTATCTTCACGTCGAATGAGGATCGGAAAGTTATCCTTGTCGTTTGTCGTGTTCATGTGAAGGAAAGACCTACGATCCGGCGAAGCAACTGGAGTGTGATGATTGACAGGTTTGTCTTCTTGGTCGTCGAAAAGGAACTTTGTAGTGTCAATGTGACCAAGAACAGATGCAAGATCTGGGAGCTCTGAGTTGACACGTTGAGATGTAAGATCGTAGCCGGTAACTGGCATAGATTTTCTATTCAAGCTATTGTTCTTGTCAGTGTTGTGTTCAAGGCGGGTCACGCAAGGGTGATATTGCTTGAGCTTGCTATTGTCCGTGCACCCGTGTGCGTTGTATGGGCGACTACCCCTAACAACCGAAGGTAGCAAACTGGACGGCAATGTCTCCGGCACGCGACACAATAGCGGTGACGTGAACTCTCGATGCTCAGGCAACAGGTGAAGTCAGGCAGCCATTACGTGTTTTGGGTAAAGGCTCGTATAGGGGAGGGGAGGGGGTACGTACGCTGCAGCTGCTCTATGATTCACACTCGAAAGCTCGTAGTCATCGTAATCATCCTCTTCCTCCTCATCGGAGTTTCGGCGGGAGCCAGGCATTGACTTCGAAGGTATATGAGAGATAGACTGGGAATGACCGTTATGAGAATGGGTGATCTGTGACCCAGATCTGCTTGGACGGTTCGAAAGGCCGGGAGGCGAGGCCAATGAAGTAATGCTTGCCGAGGAGTAGCGATTAGGCTTTGAGAAGGCATTCGGAAATCCACTGTCACGATACTCCGGTGGTGTTGTGGGCTCACTCTGTCGCCCTGGCATATTCCCACGAGTCAAATCGCTCGCTAAGCGATGCATCTCGTCTTCTTCACGGCGGGCTTGACGGTCAAGTAGCTCCATTTCGGCCTCGAAGCGTCGGCGTTGCTCTCGAAGATATTCGTATTCGAGTTTCTTTTTCTCCAGCTGCAAATGATGAGTAGGTTAGTCTGACGTTGAATTGAAGCCTGCGGAAAGTTGACGAGATGGACTTGAGGTGAACAACGAAAAATAATGAGAGGAATCGTGCAGATGTTTGCGAAAGATATATGGCGATACGGTTCAAAGAATTACCAGGTAGCGACGACTGATTTGCAGACTGAATAGAACTGAGAAGACCTGTTAAGAAGGCTGAACTTATTGTCCTTTAGACTTCAGGTCAGGCGGAGGTCTCGTTTTGGATTCAGTTCGCAGTTGCCGGGTATTTGTTTGACAGAGAGGGTATGTGAAGTAAGGAAAGAATCAAAGGTTCTTAAAGACGCTTATTGTAATATGAGAAGAAGTGAAGATCCCCGGTATTGTTTCCTTCAAACCTCACGAGGTCTGATCTCGGTTGCTGAAGCAAGGGGGGCAAGATGTACCGTGACGTGTACTTCCTGATTGACTGAGCGTGACATAAGATACGGGATAATACTTACAAGTTGGACCTTGTGAAACGTCTGAATAAATTCACAGGTTAGCGAATTATTTTCAGAAAACTACAAATTGCAAGAGCTTTGGAAATTGAATACACATGGCCACACAACTAGGAGATCACCAGAGCATGATTCGCAAGAGGTACTCTAGTGAAGCGTGTCCCACAGGGTGCATCCAACGAAGGAATTTTTGTTCGACTTACGGCTGTGGTATAGTCTGGCTGTTCGGCCGCCTGACGTCTTTGCTGCCCGATTGGAGAAAGAGGAGAAAGAGTGGGCAATGTTGGGACAGTGTTCGTGGTGAACCTCCTTTGTAAACTTCCTCGTGCGTCGTTGACGCCTGAGTTGTGATTCGACATTTGGCTTCCTATACTTCGAAGGGGGGAGGTAAGCGTAAAGGTTTCATCGCGAGGAGACTGAGCACTGCGGTAGCGCATGTCGTCGTGGCGGTCGCTGATGCCTGCAGAGTAGGCCATATTCGAAGTATCTGTACCTACAATGGGAGCGTTAGCACTCTGAGGGTCGGTGTCTTCTGAATTGTGTGGGGTTGTGTTGGCGGTGTGTGGGGAATTTAATGCGAGTTGGGTCGCAGTGACAAGGCCTCTGGAGCCGGGTACTTACAAGACTCACGGAATAAGAAGTGTACAAAGAAGTCGTAGAGTGATATGGGCCAGAGCCCGTGAAAGTCACAGATTGTGAGCAGTAGAAGTGGTGAGAAGAGTGCAGCAAAGAGGGAGCGTGTTCTTCAAACGCAGTGGGCGGGAGACTCGATGGATGGGCCCCTGGTAATGAGGCGCTTGCGCAAATGGTCCCTGCGTCCAGCGATTCTGATGATCCGAGTCGGTCCAGGGCGGTAGGATGACGGCAGGCAAGGAACAAGGGCTTTGAACTACTAAACGAATACAAAGAAGGTCCGGGCCACAAAGTTGAATTTCGTACAAATACAGAGTATGTCTAGGTGTGTGTGGATATGTGGAAAGGATGGAGGAAGGGTTGGAGGAGAAGGAAGCAGTAGTAGTAAGTAACCTGTAAACGGCACTGCCTAGGTAGGTGGTAGGTGGTAGGGTAGGGCAGGGTAGCAGCAGTATTAGCCGTGAAAGTAGCTATAACTAATCCCCTATTTTACGGTACAGTAGGGTAATTCCTCCGGGTCAATAACAGCTAGTGCTCCGCTGGCGACGGCGGCACCATCAGGCATTTCAAGGCCACCCACCCCCCAATCTAATACTGTACATACATAATAATACCAAAGCCGAGCTGCCTGCATCATGAACTAATACTAACTGTACAACGTTGTGCTTTTGTTGTCTTCTGCTACATCATCCTCCTCCTCATCCTGGCTCCTCTCCTATAGATACCTGCCTGCATACTGCATATACTGCGTCTGCATCTGCATGTGCCATCGACTATTCTAACAAGCCACGTCTTCCCGGCTCCTTAGGCCAGCCAACTCTAATGAGCCATCTCTCTCACTCTCACACACTCTCTCCCTTATTCCATTCTTCATCCTGCCTCCATAATTATATCTCCGGGAAGGTTTGTTCTGGAACGCACTATTGTCAACCACAGGCTACATCAAGAGTCACGCAACGTAACCCATGGGAGGGGCCGAGAGTAGACTCGAGAGGCTCGATGGTCTTTGTCTCTCTCCCTCTCTCTTTCTCTCACACACACACACTCTCTCTCTGCGGAGAATGCTCCACTGCGGGCACTGTCAATCATGATAATCTGCGGCGGCTGCGGTACATCAGCAAGGGGAATAGCAATGCTCCGATCCCTTCGCCGAAAGCGCTGATCAATTCGTCTCCCCAAGCTGTGCTGTCTAGGAGAGATCTGCTTGTGATTAGCGGAACACGGACGTCTGCGCCTTTGCCTCCGTAGCTACCGCACCATCCGCCAGTCATGTTTTAATTGAAGTCGCCATCACACTCGCCATCGCGGGGAACCACAACGTCAAACGAAGTGATGAGATGCAGCCGGGCGGGGCCGCGGCGCGAGCTACTGTTCCAGTGTAACAGCGCCTTCCTTGAACATTCTGCTCATTGGGGATTCATAACCGTTCCAAGAGGCCGTGGACAGGTGCGATTGCGATTTTAAACAACAGAATCCTACTGTTCTCTGGCTACAGTCAAAACGCAAATATTGAATTAGGCTCTTGAATCCTCACTCCAGCCTGGCAGAGAATCTGTCATCGTCTAGTCTCTCAATAGATTAGAGGCTTACTTCAGAGCTTAGCTGACTCGAGGACTCGATGGGAGAAAGACCGAATCACACTCCCAGACTGCTCACCGCTCCTTGTAGTACCAGCAAGTGCTACATCCACAGTCCCGACATGTTGCTGGCACTGGACAGGCACTGCTCGGCCCTGGAGCTTGCCCCTTTATAGTTAAACAGCGGCTTCGAAGTGGACCGGTGGTACTCGGTACGTAGCTGTTTCTTCCTTCTTCTTGTCGACTGCTCGACCTTGTAGCTTTTTTCCATCAGGGTCCTCTCCCAAGCATCCCACTTTTCCCCACCCTTCACGGCCGACTAAGACGCTGGGGCTGGGGTTGGTCTGGCGCTGGGGCTGGTCTGGCGCTGACTTCCTCCAGGTGGCGGTTAATTAGCTTTCGAGATCATGCATCTTGTTCTAGTCCTTGTACTCGCATTCCCAGGAAAGAGTTGAAGTGTGACGCAGCCCAACTGCTGGGGAATGTAATAGTGTCTCATTGTCAGACCGTTAGGCCGCTGCCACCTCCTTGCATCTCGACGCAACTACCAGCATGTTAGCTGTCGCAGAGGGGACCCTCGCGTCGCGACAAGGCTGCCATGATACATCGCGAAGCATCACGACTTTAAGTACCAGGCAGGCTAGACTGCTTTGCCCCGAGTGTATTGATTTTCGAGAAGGCAGCGCGGCATGGAGCTGATGGCAGAGTCTTGTTGTTGTATTTCATGTGAGCCCAAGCCCCTCACGATCTTCGTGGCGGCTGTAGCTACTTCCGAAAATCGGGGGGCACTGTAGTGATCTGCTGCGGTGGCTTGTTGCGCAGATATGTTACGTGTACCCGGTACTCGCAATTGATTTCTCTCGGATCTGTGGGAGCGAATTCTTTTGATGTGTGCAGCGCAGTACAAGCACCTGGCAAGTTTTGACAGATTGTGCCAGTGATATACCGAAAGCAATGATGATGCCACCAGTATCTTGGACTATCTCGGCCCCCCCTCACTCCGCGATGCTTGACGGCACGAGCTATCTACGAGCATGAACCCCGCCATCGTTAATTAGCTTTGAACGGAGCTCCCCCACCATGTTCGCCTTGATATGTCGCCAGATATATCAGGCATCAACTCTTTAGCGGCCCGTAAAAAGTAAAAAGCTGTCTGGCTACGCTGCTTCAGCGCGCGTGCAATGTCAAGGTCGCTCAATGATTCACGCGTTTCCTGCTGACTATCAGTATCTGTGAGGGCCACAATTATCAACTCCTAGGCCTCCTCGAGCGCCGATATGCCTCCTAAGGCTAGGAAGGCTGCTTCAGCGAAGCCCTCCGGAGATGCTGAAGCTCCAGCAAAGGTACCATTTGACTCACACATTCGGTCTGAAGCCTTACTTATTACGCTCTAGAAACCCGGGAGACCTTCTACAAAGACCAAGGCCGCATCCAGAGCGAAAGTGTCAAATGGAGCTTCAGCTTCAGATCCAGTCTCGACCGACGCTTCAGTCTCGACTGACGGTCCAGCTGGTGCGCCAGCATGTATGACTGAGCCTGCAACTGTAGTCGTGGAGGACGAAGATGCGCCTGGCACATATAAGCCAGATCAATCGGGAGTACCACAGGAGCGCAAGCCTACACGGCGGAAGAAGCCTCAGCACCCATCCAAAGCAGACACATTCGACCCTATACTTGAGCCATTCTACTGCAATAAGTCTTTGACAGACCCTATCAATACTGCAGAAGACAAGTGGAATCTATTACCTGCTTTTCTCAAGGTCAAAGGACTTGTGAAACAGCATATCGACTCGTACAACTTCTTTGTCGATACAGAGCTTCAAAAGATTGTAGATGCAAACAGATACGTCTTTAGCGACGTGAACGAGAAGTTCTTTCTCAGGTTCACTCGTATAAGGGTTGGATCTCCAAATCGCCCAGAGGAAGATGAAACCCCATCTCTCAAGTCAACTGTGACTCCAAATGAATGTCGTCTACGAGACATGACCTACTCTGCTCCCATTTTCGTTGATATGGAATACCGGAAAGAAAATAGAATTGTCCGACGAACAGGCACGCAAGTCGGTCGGATGCCAATCATGTTGAAGAGCAGTAAATGCGTTCTCAATGGCAAGACAGACAAAGAAATGTCCAAGTTACGAGAGTGTTCTGTTGATCCTGGAGGTTACTTTATTGTTCGGGGTCAGGAGAAGGTCATACTGGTACAAGAGCAGCTGAGCAAGAATCGTGTCATTGTTGAAACTGCGAAGGGTATAGTTCAGGCTTCAGTCACCAGGTAAGTTCCTTCGGCAACACGAAAACATGTTTCGACAAGCTAACAGTCTACAGTTCAACCCATGAACGCAAATCGAAGACATATGTGTTACTCAAAAAGGGCTGTATCTACCTCAAGCACAACGTCCTCAACGAAGATGTACCGATCGTGATCGTCCTTCGAGCGATGGGTGTCCAGACTGATAAAGAGATTCTCTTGTTGGTTGCTGGGGCGGACAATTTATATCAAGACGAGTTCACAATAAATTTCGAGATATGCCAGCGAGAGAGCGTTTTTACACAACAGCAAGCCCTCGAGTACATCGGTGCACGAGTACGAAGCATGAGACGGGGATTTGGACCACCGCAAAAGCGCAATTACATGCATGAGGCCATAGAGTGTCTATCATCCGTCGTGATCACTCACGTTCCGGTCACAGGACTGAACTTCAAGCCAAAAGCCTTATATGTGGCATTTATGGTTCGCCGAGTGCTTATGGCCATGCATGATCCTTCTCTGGTCGATGATCGGGACTATGTGGGAAATAAGCGTCTTGAACTTGCCGGACAGATGCTATCTCTACTGTTCGAAGATCATTTCAAAAAATTCACGACTGATCTGAAGTTCGCTTTTGACAAAGTCTTCAAACGCGCATCTAGGACCGATTTCGATGCCCATTCTCACATGGGTATGTTTGCCCACCATATCACCTCTGGTATGGAGCGAGCCATGGCGACTGGCAACTGGAGCCTGAAGCGATTCAAGATGGAACGGGCTGGAGTCACCCACTTGCTCAGCCGCCTAAGTTATATTAGTGCTTTGGGTATGATGACCCGCATATCAAGTCAGTTTGAGAAGACTAGGAAAGTGTCTGGACCTCGTGCGCTTCAGCCATCGCAATTCGGTATGTTGTGTCCCTCTGACACCCCCGAAGGAGAGGCTTGTGGCCTAGTCAAGAACTTGGCACTCATGACCCATATCACCACCGATGACGATGAAGAGCCTGTTCGTCAGCTAGTCTATATCCTAGGAGCTGAGGACATCATTTCTGCGAGTGGCAGCGAAATATACGGAGATGGCGCTTATATCATCTTTATCAATGGAACACCCATCGCATTAACGCGAGAACCCAAGAGATTCCTCAACGGCTTCCGCAGATTTCGACGTATGGGCCGGATATCAGAATTCGTGAGCATCCATATCAACCACCATCATAATGGAGTCCACATTGCCACTGACGAAGGACGAATCTGTCGTCCTCTAATTATTGTTGAGCGAGGACACTCTAAGGTCACTGTACGGTACCTGAAAGCTCTTCGTAAAGGGACTATGGACTTTGATGACTTCCTGTCACGGGGACTAGTTGAGTACCTTGACGTTAACGAAGAAAACGACTCCAACATTGCCCTCTACGAAACAGACATCAACGAACACACTACCCATCTTGAAATTGAACCTTTTACTATTCTCGGCGCTGTCGCTGGTCTCATTCCGTACCCTCACCACAACCAGTCTCCCAGAAACACGTATCAATGCGCCATGGGGAAGCAAGCCATCGGTGCTATCGCCTACAACCAATTCACCCGTATCGACACCCTCCTCTATCTCATGGTGTATCCGCAGAAGCCCATGGTCAAAACACGTACCATCGAATTGATTAAATACGACAAGCTCCCGGCCGGCCAAAATGCGACTGTCGCCGTCATGTCCTACTCAGGCTATGACATCGAAGATGCTCTTGTCCTCAACAAGGCCTCCTGCGACCGTGGTTTTGGCCGCTGCCAGGTTTTTAAGAAGATTTCCACGACCCTACGTACCTATGCATCCGGCCTCGCAGACCGCATTAATGGTGCAGCCGTCGACCGCAATAATCCACGACACACCCAGCTTGGTGTCGACGGCCTCGTCGAAGTCGGCGTACCGCTCGCACGCGACAACACCTACATGCTCAAAGAGACACCCACCCGCACAACATCGTCCTTCGAGAAACCCGACTCAACTGCAGTCACTGAGTTCAAGACTACTCCCATGAACTATCGCCTCCCAGATCCATGCTACATTGACAAACTCATGATCACAGCCTCTGACCAAGACACCCCCATCATCAAGATCCAAACGCGGCAAACGCGACGTCCTGAACTCGGCGACAAGTTCTCCTCCCGCCACGGACAGAAGGGCGTCGTCGGACTCATCGCCGAACACGCAGACATGCCATTCTCCGATGCCGGCATCGTGCCCGACGTCATCATGAACCCGCACGGTTTCCCGTCGCGCATGACAGTCGGCAAAATGCTCGAGCTGCTCTCCGGCAAAGCAGGCGTGCTCAACGGCACCCTCGAATTCGGAACCGCCTTTGGCGGCAGCGACCACAGACTCATGTCCGACCTGCTCGTCAAGCACGGCTTCAGCTACTCCGGCAAGGACTACCTCACCAGCGGCATCACCGGCGAACCCCTCCCCGCATACGTCTTCTTCGGCCCCATCTACTACCAGAAACTCAAGCACATGGTGCAGGACAAGATGCACTCGCGCGCCCGTGGCCCGCGTGCTATCCTCACTCGCCAACCTACCGAGGGTCGCTCGCGCGATGGTGGCTTGCGCCTGGGTGAGATGGAGCGCGACTGTCTGATTGCGTATGGTGCCAGTCAGTTGCTGCTGGAGCGACTGATGCTGAGTAGCGATGCGCATGAGTGTGATGTCTGCGAGGGCTGCGGCATGATGGGCTATCAGGGCTGGTGTGGCGTGTGCAAGAGCCGCAAGGGCGTCGTGCGTTTGACGATTCCGTATGCGGCAAAGTTGCTGATGCAGGAGCTGTTGAGTATGAATGTGAAGGCTGGGTTTGGGTTGGGCGAGGAGTTTCCTAGGGGAGAGTGAAGATTAAAATTGGGAGAGGGGGTGGAGGGGGTGGAAATGATGTAAAAGCATAGCGCGTTGGGGTGCATGGGAAGGTGTTTTGGGTGTGTGTGCATAAGGAGAAAAGATGTTACAGCATTTGCACATTGCATGGAAATGTAATTATTATAACCTATCTTGATTCTACGACCAAAGTGTTTTCCGGTGCCTTCACCGTTTTCAATTTTCGCTGTGATTATCATACACACCACGCGCCGATTCGAGTAGACAGACCCTCGATGCGCCAGGACACACCAAAGAACCGAAAAAGACCTGTGCTTCTTCGGGTCAGACTTTCTCTCGCAAGATTCCCAATCCAAGCCAACTTTCACTTTCTCCTATTATACACACACACCTTTCCTGCTTATCCCAACAGCCGGGGAAAAGAAACAGTCTCAGAAAGCAGCACCGCCCATATTCGCCTCGCCATTCAATGCACTCAACTGCTGCTCGGCCAAGTCCGCGCGCATTGCCTGCAGATTACTCTCCCGCTCCATGACCTCCCACTCTCTCAGACTCTTCCTTTTCTTCGCCTCCTTGTCGTTGATGGCCTGGCGCAGCCTCTCCGCCTCATCCTCCAGCTTCTTGAGCTTCGTGGTGTCGTACAGCTCCGGGGCTTTGACGCCGCCAGGGATGGGCATTGGTAGGTCGGCCATGTGGTCGTTGAAGCGCTTGGTGCGTGGGTATGTGGTTGAGGTGCTATTGGCCGAGCCACGAAAGCCAGGCGCGGCAAATGTCGAGGACGAGCCACCGCGAGGACCGGGGGGCGGCGCATTGCCATAGCTGCGGCTTTCGTAGCCTCCACGACCTTCGTATCCTCCACGACCCTCATAACCTCCACGGCCCTCATAACCTCCGCGTCCTTCATAGCCACCACGACCAAAGCCAGAGCCGCGGCGTGGTGGTGGGCCAGAGAAGTCTCGTGAAGGGTAATCGCGGGACGAGTCCAAACCGCCGCGGCCTTCAAAGCCACCGCGACCTTCAAAATTACCACGGCCACCTCCTCGGGGACGAGATGGCGCGCCAAGAACTGGATTAGAACCGCGGTTAGGCATGGCAGCTGGACCAGAGGGAGGAGACATGGCGGGTGATGGATAAGTACGAGATGCTCCAGAGGGTCCCGTGGGCGGAGCGCGCGTAAAACTAGCATCTCTGCGCGGACCAGTCGGGGGTGCGACAGACGAACCATTGGGAGGTTCACGATCTCTAGGAGAAGCCAAAGCTGAGCGAGCAATTGGTGAACGAGGAATGGGCGAGTGAGGGATAGACTCTCGAGGCTCGGGTGATCGCTCTCGTTCAACCTCACGATCGGAAATGCGGTGGCGGAATGCTGGGGATCTAGCGCGCGGAAGAGGCGAGCGTGGCCGAGGGGAGAAACGCCTGTCCCGAGGGGACCGCTCGTCATCTCTGCCGCCACGGAAGAAAGGTCGAGGTGAAGCCCTCCTGGAAGTAGCTCCAGACTCTCTTCCTGAATTCTGACCAGAGCGAAAGTTGTTTCGTGGTGGTGACGGCGATCTTCTCCTCCAGGTATCAGCTTTGTATGGATCTGGTCGATCATCGCGACGAAGGGGTGAGCGCGAACGGGCTTGCGGTCGATAATTGTTCTCGCGAGGAAGAGGAGAGAAGTCGCGTCTACGGGGACTGGCCATCAAGTCAGTGCTTCTATGATTGACTGCATTGGAAACCTGATACCTTTCGGCTCGTGATCTTGGTTCTTCGAACCTGCGCCTCGGTGGAGAATCGAACCTCTCGCGCTTTGGTGGCGGTGAGCGTCCCCTGCTTCTAACTGGCGAAGGTGACCGTCCCCTCTTGACTGGCAGCGGCGATCTTTCCCTACGTATGGGCGACCTTGGACGAGTGTCTCTCCCTCCAACATAGCTGTCGCCTCCAAGGCTTCCTCTTAACTGCGAGCGTGGTCTATCGTCTTCTCTTCTGAAATTCTCTCGGCGAGGTGAAGGCGCGCGACGAGGCGGGCTTCTTCTCCAGCTATCATTCTCAGCGCGAAAAGGACGAGGTGGTGTGCGTGATCGACGACGGAAGGTATCTGCAGAGCGGCTTCGCGGACGGCCGCCAGCTCGACCGCCTGAGGGCGCCCATGTATCGGCTGCTGCACGACCAGCCCCGCGAGGTGGCGGCGAGCGCGAATTGCGATACTCACGGCGAGGAGGAGAAGGTCGTCGATCACCTGCACCGGGTCTATAAGAGTTCCAGTTGCTACTGTTGATATGATCAGCATGGTGAGTTTTGGCAGTTTCTCTCTGCTGAGCTTGCGAGAACTGAGGCGAGCCAGCCAGTAAGGTTTCATGAAATATGCGGTTTTTGGAGTACCGCTCTTCTCTGACGTTATGAGATCGGTTCACATACCTCCGCTCGCGGTCACGGTCGCGATCCATTGTCTAGAGTCTCAGTCACTGGTGTTAGTAAGGGAGAAAAGTGACAGTGCAATACAATCTGCACCAAGCAGTGATAAGCGCTGCAAAGTAGAGCTGAGAAACGAGCGTCGATGTGGTGGAACTGACGTGGTGGCAGCGTGAAGTGAGGCATGTAGCTCGAAATTTTGATTCGACGCTGGCGACTGACGCGCTTGTCACGTGTTGGGCTTGGCTCATTGTCAAATATCACCTAGCAACCAGTGAACAAAGCCATGTTCCCCTTTCTGCGCACTTCACTGACCATATCAGCGGTTCTTTAGTTCGGGCTGTACGGACGCCGGGTGTTTCATACGGGTCATTCGCAGGTTCAAGTTTTGGTCGCGGTGGGAGGCGTGCATACTTCATCATATCAAATCTTGAGCTCATCTTTTTTCTTTGTTTGTGTCCTCATATTGGTCGCAAGGGACGATTTGGCCGTCGAGTGCTCTTTAAAGCTTCATCTTTCCATTTCGGTTTTACAATCCTCCAATGTCCTTGTTAAAACCCGTTCCATTTGATATCTTTACAATCCATACCATTTCAGCTATTTCGCTGAATGTTGCGGCCTTACCACAGACCTTCTTGCACCGTACTCCGACTTATGCAACGTAGTACCATATAGCTCAAAACGGACGCGATTTTCATCCTTGTGCGCACTTATCGTCCTTCCTGAAGCGACGCGTTGAGTATTCTTCACATCTTGTTTCATCTTCGCCCTCGTTTCTCTTCGTCCTTCTTCAGCCTCTTCCTGCTCTCATCCGCAATCATCTGACTCAAGTCATCTTGATCAATACCGCCTCCACCCCATGCACCTGCCGCATCAGCCTTCCTCTGGGCATCGTACTGTCTCTGAAGCTCCTCCTTGCTCAGCTTTCCTCCGTCTGCCAACGCATCGACGTCGACTGAGACGTCTACATCACCAGCCTTCCGCTTTCTGCCTGAATCGCGACCCAACATTGGCACGTCGGGATCACGCTGCGTGGCTTTGATATCATACGTGCGATCGGAGCCAAAGAAACCCTTTGAGCGTACATTCTGTTCCTGAACGACCTGATAAAGCTCACGAGGAGGACCGGCATCTGCGGAACCACGTCTCCCTCCCTTGCCAATGGAAAAGTCGGACGCAATCCTTTCGTCTCTGATTTGCGGTACTGGGATCGGTGCAGGAGACTCGGCCCTTGTTGTATCTGGAATGTCTCCATCGCTCATATCTACATCTTCGTCTGCGTCGTCATCTTCCTCTTCTTCTTCCTCTTCAGACTCTTCTGGTGGCTGCAATTCTCCCCATAACGTTTTCTCAACTGGCTCACCTGTCTGCTGCGGCTGCTGCAGGATCGCAGTACCGAAGATGTCACCGCCATACAGAGGTCTATTGAACTCGTCGACAGGGGGTTTTCCATACCCACCAGGATGAAATCCCCACTGGGCCCCGGGAGGCGGAGGAGCATTCAGGCCTGCTATCTTGAGGGCAGGATATGACGGAGGTGGGCCGAATCGCTGTTGATTGATGAGCCATGGTGGCGGAGCACCTGGAGGGATATTCAGAGCATCTTTAAGCTCTTCACTTAGCTCACCAGGACGGAGGTGCCTCAAGTTTGTCTCATACTCCTTTCCTTCGTAGTAGACTTCGCCGTATCGTGTCAACTCGGGCTTCGTCTGAAACTTGAAGAATGCTTCGTATAGCTTTCCATAGTCAATATCGAGTCGACCCATCTTCGGCGCAACGCGTTCTCTCTGCTTCTGTTTCATAGTCTGCTCAGCTTGTTTCTCAAGAAGTGCGTCACGCATCTCTGCAATGCCCGTCTCTTGTATGAACTTTGGTAGTGAGAAAGCCGGTTTTTCCACGCCTCGCTTCGAGGAAAGATACTCGCGTTTCAGTGCCCAGTGCTGAGGTACTGGTACAACGTTCCTATGGCCCTTGATTGAGACCAGTAGACGAGGGTCTGGAGCGTTGACATCTGTCCATTCCACTAATTCGGGTTTCTTCACAATTGCTTTCAATTCCGCGATTGACAACATGTTCTGCTGTTTTCGCGCCCTCTTTGAGAGCTTTTTTGCTGACTCGTCCTCCTCGTCTGGGATGTCATCGTCACCGTCGTAATATATCTCAGCTTTTGCGGGTTCTTTCGTGGCCTCCGCTTCTGGTTGCTCTAATCTCTGAAACACGGATTTGAACTGTGCGTATAGAGGATCAGATGGGTCAATCTCGAAAGATACAGCGGCTGAGTGCTTTTCGTCGACATCTGCTGGGTCTGGTGATGGGGAATCACCGCGCACAGATTGAGGTATCGGTGCTTCTGACTCTGCGCGTAATGATGCCTGGGCGACACGGATATTAGCACTGGTTCGCACAATGTAAGATTTAGAGATATAACTTGCATCCTTCTTGGCCTTCTGAGCTGCGCGCCGCTTGTGATTCTTATTCTCCTTCTTCTTCGTGCCCGACATCGCGACAACTGCCTTGCTAGCAGATGATTAGTAACGGCAGTAACTGATCTTTGCAGCACGCAAGCAGTAAGGTGTCCACTACTAACACGAAGGCTTGCGTCAGGATGAGATGTCTGGGCGTTGATGATGATGAAGGGAGGTTGCGGCGTGTTTGGCGTTTGAAGTTCTTGTACGGAAAGTCGCTAATTGACATGGTCACGTGAGCGTCCTCCGCGAAGATGTTCTAGCGATTTCAACTTTATAACTCAACACACATACATAGACACTCAGAATTCTTCGAAGTCAACAGCAACTATAGCCGGAGCTTGTGCTTGGGCTATGTGCTCATACCAGCAAAACACTCGATGTAATATAAGTCAGGTAACTACTTACACTAATTATGCTTTGCCTCAATTAAGTACGGTCATTAACCTCGAACTTGTTAGTATAGAATCCCCTAAAATGCTTGTTCTCCCCGATTTCTTTCAAACTCTGGATCTCGCTCGGATTCAATTTGAACGTCGCAGCTCTCAGATAGTCACTCAATCTCTGTTCCTTGGAGCTCGTCGTGATCGGGATGATATCCTGATCTATACACCATCTCAGTAACACTTCTCCTTCACTGACCGCATACTTCTTCGCCAGTCTCGCAAGCGCCTCGTCCACCGGACCACCAGCAGCTTTGACGATTGGTGTCAATGGCCCGTATGCCGAGGTTGCAACACCGTGCTTCTTGTGCAGTTCAATTAGGGCGTTATGTTGAAGGTATGGATGGAACTCGATCTGGTTGATAGCTGGAACGACCTTGGCAGTCCGGAGAAGAACCTCGAAATCTTGTGGACGGAAGTTTGAGACACCAATGGATTTAGTGAGGCCCAACGCTTGCACGGCTTCCATTTGAGCCCAAGATTTCTGGATGTCGGCCGGAGAAGATGTCCACCAAGCGTGATGAATGAGGTATCTAACGGAACGTTAGTGCCTCAATGCCCCCATAAACATCCCATCATACTGCGTACTGGTCAACATAATCCAGCTGTAACTTCTTCAGACTCGCTCGCAGCGAGCCCTCGACATCAAGAGGGTTATTTATGACTTTAGCGACGACATATAGCTTCGACCTGTCAGTACCACTCTCTTGGATGGCAATGCCAAGTTCAGCCTCTGTCTTGTACACTGTTCCGATTTGTCAGCTATCATATCTTAGTGTACCTTTAATGGTGGGATAGTGGGAGCTAAGATGGCAATATTACTGACTCTCACCACCATCAAGATATGTATACCCCATCTCAATTGCTTTCTTGATTGTATCGATTAGAATACGGTCCACCTTAGTATCATCTCCACTCTTGAACCATGCAGTCCCAGTACCATAACCGAGCTGTAAGTAGAAGCATCAGTATTATTTTCATTGCAAACATTGCGGACACATAGTCCACCATCCATACCTGTGTCATGACCTTTGGGCTTGAAACAGATTCAGCCCGTCAGGAATCGACATACGGCGGGGTACCAATGAGCTCAAATACACCAGTATATAAACTTACCATGGGCATGGATGTTCCATCGTTGAGCTTGAGGCTCGGAATCGGAGTATAAATCTTTGCCATGACTGGGAAGGCTGAAAGAGATGGTAATTAGAGTGGAAACAAACAGACTTCGGTCTAGGCAAATGGTATAATTTATTGACGGGCGAATATCTCGGTGTGAGTCACCTAAACAATTTATCTTCTAGGTCTGCTGTGTATACCCAAGCTCGCCGCTCCGTTCATCTAGAGATCTACAAAAGAAAAGATATCTGGATTACTGTGCACACCTCACGCGTGTAGTGGCGCATATGACGTAAAGTGGGCCTGCCTAAGCACATCCCACTTTCATAGGTGTTCGGAAGGTCGTAGGCGGCGCTGCTGTCGAATGGTATTTAGATGTCACTAAAGTTAAGGCGAGGCCTGTCTTTGAATATGTAAAGGTAAAGACAACGCCCGCGTCATACATATTACTATTAGTAATGGTGACTTATCAGTACCGACGCCTACAGTACGAACAATGATAGCCGCCCATATGTACTCCATCCCGTGATGGAAGTATTGGCTTACTCAGTAGAATAGAAGCGCAGCGAATAAAATAAAGTAAGTTGGTATCACAGGCCCTTTAGACCATAGCGAGGACTTCTCCCCATAAAAATCGACCGCAAATCACAATTCACCGCCCAGCTACCGCATAAGACATTACAGTATTACAGTAAGTTCACAGCGGCAGGGATGCTATTGCGCATCGATACGTAAGCATCAATCCTCCCAACGCCGGTTTCAGAGTGTATGGGTGTTCTAATTGTAGTCCGACCGATAGGAGTGGTCCTTTAGGCACTCTTTTCGTGTTGCGTAGAGACTCTCTGAAGCGATACAACTGTGAAGAATTAATATTTATGGTCATCGCGCCATATGATGGAACTTACCAAAATCTTCGTTAACCCTGTGTTCCCGTTTCTTCTTTCGAATGTTACCATGCATAAGGTTGTTAAAACCGGCGCTTCGTTGGCATAGATAGTATACGCCAGCACAAGCACAGAATATAATGAACGACATCGCCCAGACGCGGACCACCGTAACTATGGACGTTTGGCCACCGACAAACCATCCAAACAGACAGAAGAAAGTAGCGAGAATATCGACTAAGAGAATGGCACCCGTGAGCTGCCACGATGGAATAGACGACCAAAAGGGCCCGTTAGCCCGGGTGATGAAGATGAGCCAGTTCTGGGTGAGACAGATCTCTAAGAAGAGAACTGGATCGCGGATTCCGAAGTTCTGAACGATGCCTCCTGTTTGGGGAATTCCTTGTTCATTACTTGTGATGTGACCGAACATGGAGGTTAAAGTAAGCCAGGTGCCAATGGAAAGGATTATACCGAGAAGTACGGACATACCCCAAAGTTTAGGTAAATTCCAATTGACTGGTAGCTTTGCGTAAGGGGCGTTGTCATAGGCAATGGCGAGTGTCGCAATGTCGGCGAAAATAGCGATGAATACAACAAGGGACAGATTTAGCGAAGTGTTGAGAATGGCGATCCAGAGACCTAGAAATATCTCCAAGTGGATGGATAACGCGATACGATAAACCACGTACGCATACATACGATGGAAAATCTGTCGCGATGTTTTCAAAGCATCAATGATTGCTGAGAGACCAGGAGCCAAGAAAACAATGTCGGCAGCGGACCGTGCTGCATCAGAGGCACCCTGCACGGCAATTCCAGTATCAGCCTTTTTCAAAGACGGAGCGTCATTGACGCCGTCACCTGTCATAGCAACCAAAAAGCCACGGCTCTGAAGAATGTCTACGACATTGTACTTGTGTTGAGGAAAGACTTCAGCGAATCCGTCTGCAGCTTGAACGAAATCGTAGACTTCTGACCCGGGCATTTCGCCACCACCACCAAGACCTAGACGTTCAGCATTATATACGTGATCTCCGAGACCGAGCTGACGTGATGTCTCGCGAGCGATTCCAACAGCATCGCCTGTCAACATCTTGATTTGCAGGCCCAAGTTTTTCGCCTCGTTGATGGTTCGAGCGGTGTCATGGCGAGGTGGGTCAGAGCATGGCATGATGCCCAAAATCTCCCATGGCTCGCCTGTGCGCTTCCGAGCAACACCGAGAGAGCGAAAACCACGAGCGGCGAATTCGGCGACCTTGTTCTTATAGGCTTCCTCGATATCAACAGGAATGGGATGGTCGACCTCGACCGTTTTAAGAACGAAGAGAGGAGCACCTTTGATGCAAACAATCTGTTCTCCACCGGGTGCTTCTACCAGAGCTTTAACTTTCTTCGACACCGGGTCGAAAGGGGTGAATTGAACCACTCTGTACTTGGAAAGGACACTCTTCGCACGTGGGTAGTACTTCAGTGCCTTGAGAAATGCTTTGTCAATGGCATCAATGCCCTTTTTCTTCCGCGAGGCAGCCAAACAGGCTGTAAGCATGAGATCGTCAGGTTCAACACCCTCGACGACGTAGGGTTCGGCGAGAGAAAGTTTGTTCTTCGTCAAGGTACCAGTTTTGTCTGAGCAAAGTATTTGCACTCCTGCCAATGACTCGATGGCAGAGAGCTTCTGGACAATGGCCTGCTTTCGAGCAAGGTAGGCAGCACCTACAGCCATAGTGGTGGTGACTACGGCTGGAAGACCGACAGGCACGCCAATGATGGTGATGGCTAGGGTAAAGCGAAGAATCTGAACGATTCCATTCGAGCGGTAAAACGATGCTATCCATACGACCGAGAGAGTAACGACTACGAGGATCAGCAGAATGACTCCAATGCCATTCAACACCTCAGTGAAGTGGCCAGTCCCAGAGCTAGCGGAGGCGACCAGGGAGGCTGCACGGCCGACAAAAGTTGAGTCTCCTGTAGCTGTGATTATCATGAACGCAGTACCTCTCTTCACCATAGAAGACTGGTAGCAAACATCTTTGACATGTTTGTCAACAGCTAGAGACTCCCCGGTGATGGACGACTGATCTACTTGGATGAAGGCATCCTCACTTATGATACGGCCGTCAGCAGGAATGATAGCGCCCTCCTCGACTTGTAGAAGATCTCCAGGGACAAGCTCAGTGGCTTCGCATTCTATGAGTTGGCCTTCGCGGTAGACAATGGCTTTGAGGGCAAGGGTCTTCTTCAGCTCCTCGACAATGGAGCCGGCCTGGTATTCCTGGATGAAACCAACCATAGCATTTAGCAGTAGCAAAGCGATTATGACGCCAAAATCAACCCAGTCCTACATGAGCGGATTAGTGACAGCGCGTGATACAAGGGCCGATTTTGGCTTACCTCCAGACCCGCAGCGAGAATGGCGGCGGCCTCCATAACGAATTGTATGGGGCCGACAAAGTACATAAGAAACTTGAGGGCCAGGTTCTCCTTCTCTTCCTTCATTTGATTCAGACCAAATTTCCTTCTCCGAGCCAAGACTTCTTGCTCAGTCAAACCCATGCTTGTGTCTGTCTGTAGGAAGTCTTCTGATACGAAACGTGCACCTCCGGGTTGCGTATCTTCCTCGTCTTCGATGTCTATATTCTCGTCGACCGATTCGAGCTCTTCAATCAGTGCATCAATATCCTCTTCCTCCTCCTCTTCATCCAGGGCAGCGTATGCCGCGCGAACGTGCTGGGTAGGGAGTCCGCGAGGCCTTTCATCCGAACTGGAACCCTTCTTCTCGTCGAACTGACCGGATGGCACGTCGGTGCCAAGGTGATTAGGTGTAACATCATCGCTAGCCATGATTGATGGCTCGACGACACGACGCGACGGGCGTAGTGATTGTCGTCGAGTCAACGGCAGCGTGGTGTAGACTTGTAGAGAGGGATGAGTGAGGCAGTAAATTGCAGAGCCGGGCGCGGCGTAGGATGAGAGCTTGGCTTGAGAACGGGCCGCTTGGTGGCGGTGCGGAGATGCCTTGTTAGATGATGATCGCGTTGGCTACTATGCTGCATGAACGTGCATGTGCAGGTGCATGCAGGTGATGCTTAATTATATAGCAATGCACAACAGATAATAAAATCACAGACGGAAGAGAAACGGACGACGGGTCTGAAGGAGTTGAAAGACGACGATGGGAAAGACGAGGACATGAGAAACTTCTCACGTGTGGAAGGAAGAAGACACCTCAGGCAGCCGGCGCTGGCGTAAGTAGCGAGCGCATCCGGCACATCACGCAGTTGCGGCCCCCAATCCTAGCCGCAGTAGCCTTTGAGAAAAATAGGTTTATTAATACCTCATGTGATTTCAATCATTTCCGCACCCAACGAGTGTCTACTGTTGACACCTTAGACACTCTTCGATATAATTAGTGCATTGAAGGCCATCTATCGTTGAGAGACAATAGTCACCTCCGGTGAGCTGCTGGACAGTCGATTACGACTTCGCTTTCACTTTCATTATCATGATATACCTCGATTCATGTACTCAAAAAACGACCATAGAGCTTTCATACATCGTCGGGAAACGGCAAACCTTGAGTCTGTGATGAAACAATGGATGGCACAAACTATAGTTTGCTCTCGCTTTTACGTCCTCCGAACCCAAACAGATATGCCGCAATTTTCCTCATTTGAATCTCTTCGCTGCCCTCCGTGATACGATACCTACGATGGTGCCTCCAGATGTGCTCAAACGGCTTGTGTCTGCTATATCCATTCCCGCCATGCACCTGAATTGCCCTGTCCGCTGCTTCGGTGCATAACCTATTCGCCCAGTAGTTGCACATCGACACTTTATCCCCTAGCCTCTTCTCCACTTCGACGTGATCCATCGAGTCCATAAGTGCTGCTGTTTGCCTGATTAGCAAACGCAACATGGAAGCTTGCGTGTGTAGTTCGACGAGTGGAAATTGGATGCCTTGGTTGTGGGAGAGCGGCGTGCCAAATGGCTTGCGTTGGTTTGCGTATGCGACTGATTCGTTGATGCAGTATACGGCCGCACCGAGTGAAGAAGCTGCTTGTCGGATACGATTCTCGTGTACGAAGGCCTGCGCGACTGCGAGGCCATTATCAAGAGGACCCATCACTGCGGTCGAAGGCACCCAGACGTTGTCGAGAGTAATCGTTGCGTGATCGGTAGGCATGTTGAGTGTCCTGCTATGGTCAACATGACGTTCCAATCCCTGCTGCTCATTCCACTGACCACTCAAAGCTATCCACCTTCAAACCTGTCGTATCTCTCGGAACGACAAAACAACTGATCCCTTTTGCCTGTCCATCTTGACCACTCGTCCTTGCGAAGATGAAACAATGCGTGGCAACATGCATACCTGTCTGCCACCTCTTTCCACCATTTATCCTCCACCCGGCAACCCCGTTCCTGATCTCCTTCACTGCTTTTGTTTCCATATGCGTCGCATCACTGCCATGATCCAACTCCGTTAACCCGAACGTAATCCTGACTTGCCCTTTCAACCGCCCTTGGATCAACTCCTTCTTCTGCTCCTCCGACCCAAAATGCTGCACCATGACCACATCTGGAAAGTTTCCTACGATACTATGCTCATTCTGCAGGTCATTGAACAGTCCTAGGCCTTTGGATGCCAGATGCTCGCGGATGACAGCCATCCACAGATTTGCACCACGTGCGGAAGATATGTTTTGTCCGCCATACTGCTCAGGCAGCGAGAAGCGAAAGAAGCCAGCTTCATCAGCTAAACGGCGAGCTTCGCCCAGCAGTGCTTCCCAGTCGTGGCGTGGGAGGCCACCGGCGTCCCAGTCAGTGCGGGCGTGTTCACGGCGGTGATCGAAGAAGCGGTTGTTGTCGTCCCTGGCTTGAAGTGGTGCAATTTCGGAGTCGATGAAAGTGTCGATGTCTTTAAGGTATTGTATCAATTCTGGAGGAAGGGAGAAATCCATGATTGCAGGCTGGCGTAATTAAGACGGAACCTTCATGGGTAATTAAACCGAGTGTAGAAGTCAATCGGCGAGGTATTAGCTTATTTCGTTGTGCCGTAATCCCAAATGATGTCCGTACATTCTTACACTCTGCCTTGGCTGACATAAATAATTGTATACTGAACCTTAGAGTCGAAACCGTCCTTGCTCAGGTTTTAATATAGTTGATGATTGATCTCTAGCTCCGCATCCTCACACGGCCAGGATACAGGAGCGGGGAAGCGAGGTAGCGGCTACTGATCCTCGGTCAACGCCATGGGGCAAAATATTGAACGCTTCATCAAACAATTCATGAGCGACGGTGCTACATGACGTTGGCACCTGTGCTGAGTTGCATAGCAATCAGCCTAGGGATGAAGTGCGACTCTGGAGCAAAAGCCTATCAATAAGAAAGCCACTGACATAAATAGGAAATCAGATGCTTTTTATACATTTTAATTGTACATACACGTGTTATATTTTTGTTATTGCCTTGGTGCTTTTCCAGACCCTGAACTCCTGTCGCTGTGCAATTCAATGGGTATCGTATAATGACAGGGCGGCGAGCGGACAGCAGCCCTGCCCAGTAAAAGAAGAGAAATTGTCGAACAATTATCTAAGCATCCTCGTCGGTAGGCCTGAGATAAGGCATTTGGTAGTCCCGGAGTACTGCTACCAAATCATCCTGTCGAGAAAGCTGAGCCAAAAGCTGCTCTTCGGTTTCCATCCACGAGCGTAGCGCATTTTTTTCGATAATTGTGAGTAAATCGTCCTCGTGTCCCACAACATCACTTCGTTCGGCTTTGTCAATTACCGGCTGTACGACAGACTTCTCGGACTTGATCCGCTGAAGGATGCGGCTCATGCTCTTGTATACGTCGGTCAAGATCAGTTGCCTGCAGCGATCCTCATCGAAGAACCACAGATAGAGAGTACGGCTTGGCTGGCGCGAATTGTCCTTCGGTATCTCTTGATTCTCGACGTATCCAGCTCCTTGCATTTGGCCAAGAGTGCTGCGTAGCTCCCTTGTGCGTAACAATGCGTAGGTGGAGATTTGCTTTTCATCAAGCTTTCCTTTGTCTTTCATAATTCGCATTGCCATAGCAGCGTAGTCCCCAAACTTGTCCTTAATGGTGGTCTCGATATCATGTGACAGAAGCTGTTGTGTGAGAGACCGATAGTTAACTTTCCATTTGCCGCGGCCGACATTGGTGATGAAATGTCGTGGATCAGCGGCAAGCAGTTCCAGCTGCTGTTCAATAGATTGAGCCCGTCTTTGCTCATCTGTAAGGTTCTGCTCTGCTTCCCTTTCCGCTTCTCTTGCTGCTTCACTTCCTTCCCCATCATGGCTACGATGATGTCCATTGACTCCATTCGCCCTCTCTGCCTCACGCTTTTTCGGCTTTCCTAAAGACAGATCCATCTTCTCTTTCGCCAATGCATTCATGATGGCACCCGTATTGACGTACGGAGCACGTTCCATCTCATCGTCTTGAGAGACTGCCAAAGAAAGCTCATCTCGACACCGCATGACATTATCTTCTAAACATCTCAGAAGCGCTTCGTATACTTTCGCAGTGGCAGAACCAATATATCGTGTCGCGAACTCGACCAGACGTTGATTGCGCATAGCGACTTCGCATTTCTCTATGTTGATACGGAAAGCAGTCTCGTCCTGTCGATCTATTAATTATGGTCAGGCAATTGGGGCTCCTTAACTCACATCGAACAGGCTAGGGGCATCTGCCTGCTCATCATCGCTATCACTCATGGCGGCGATTGCTCGATTGCCATTGACTCTTCTTTTCTTGCGGGCTGGTGCATCTCCGTCGTTGAGGAGTGACTCTAAATTTTGCAAATTAAGCTTTCCACTCTTTTTTTGGGCGCGACCCTCCCCGTCCCTCCACTTTCGCTTCAAGTCGTTTACTTTTATTTTACGGTCATTATCCTTCTTAGAATCCTTCGGATGCTCCTTCAACCAGTCAGACCGTACAATGCGCTCGGCTTCATTGTGTAGATCTTCAGGTGGCGTGAAGTGTTTCTCGTCAACGCGAATAATATACCCGCCCTGCTCAAGTTCGCGGATTTTCGAGTGCAGTTGCGCATTAGTCTGGATAAGGTCTTCCTCGGCAAAGGCAGGAGTATGCCCGTTGGCTGTGTTGCGCTTCTTCTTTTGAACTCCGTAAGCCTCTGCCATATCCTTGACTCTGACGTGTCCCAGAAGGAGTAGATTTGTCGCTATGCCGCCACTGGCTTCGCCATATCGGTCTTCGATGATCTGCACGATCTTGCCCGAACGGACGAGACCATAAGCATGTTGCCAATTGGCTTCGTAGAAAGTTATGTCGTCATCTTCTGGTGTGTAATGGAGAATGAGGTGCTGTTGTATCAGTACAGCCAGACCATGCTTCAGATGGCGGACCGTAAGGCTTGAATATTTCAGTAATCCTTGTAAAGACAGCCGTCCGTAATGTATAAGGATTGCGAATACGCGCTACAAGTACATGTTAGCTGCAAATGCCCTTTACACGAAGGTAGTACACATAAAGCACGTACCGAGCATAGTTCACCATAGAGGTCGTCGACTAGCAGTGTGCAGAGCTCCGAAAGAGGCTATTGCGCGTGTCAGTATAGGTGGCTTTCACAGAAATGGAAGTTGAGGCTGCAGTACCTGAGACATAATGTTTCTGAAGACTGGAAGAGCTCTCCAGAAGCTCTGATATGCTACCGGAACATTTAGGATTTGCTTGAGGCCGATACGGAGAAGAATGTGGTGTGTTGGCTGAATGAATTCATGTCAAAGAAAAGCTGTGGATAGTGGGCGCGGGGCCAATAGAAGACGCGCAGTTCGTGTGACTAAGGACTTGCCAAGCGGTTTCAACGGCATCACTTCACGACGTCTGATTCTTCTCTTCCGAACGGACCGCTATCAATTGCACCACCAACCCGCTCTCATCCCGTTTATCGGCGCCGAATCGAAGATGCTATCGCGCCAATCTCTCGGTCGGGGCGCTCAGCGCGTCATTAAGCGACAATGCTGTGTCCAGCTCGGACGTAGAGGTCTGGCTACGCCAGCTTCGGGATCATTTCAATATCAAACCGGAGAGGCCAACGGCGTCAAATTTGCCAGCAGAGATCTCCCAGGCCCGACTGCGACGCTTGCCCTGGTCTCGAAGACTGGTACTAGATTTGAGCCAGCTCCCGGGTTGACCGAGGCACTCGAGAAGTTTGCATTTACCGTAAGGAAGTCTCATCACAATGTATCTCAAAAGAATGTATTCTGATAATCATTATTAATGTCAGGCGACCGAGCGAAGGTCTACTTTACGAATCGTTCGCGAATCTGAGCTTCTTGGCGGCGAGATCTCCGCAAACCACTCCCGCGAGAATCTCGTCCTCGGAGCCAAGTTTCTCAGAGATGACCTCCCTTACTACGTCGAGCTCCTTGCCGAAGTCGCGTACCGCACAAAATATGAGAGTACGTTACACTACAAGAACAGAATGATGGATATCTGACCAAGGATTGCAGACTACATTCTGAATGAGGAGGTCATCCCGACCATCCAGAAGGCCCATAAAAAGTTTCTCGCAAACGTTTCCGAACTGGCAATCAACTCTGCGCATGGAGTTGCTTTCCACCGTGGCCTCGGTGTCCCACTGTATCCAGCTTCGTCTACCCCAACATCGAAATATATCACCTTAGAAAACGTCCAAAACTTTGCAAACTCGGCATTCTCAAAACCCAACTTCGCTATAGTAGCAAATGGAGCTGATCAATCTGAACTGTCGAAATGGGTTGGCGAGTTCTTCTCAGACATTCCCGCTTCAGGCAAGGCTATCGAAAGCCAGCAGCAGAAATACTATGGTGGCGAGGAGCGTATTGCTCATGGTTCGGGCAGTGCTATGGTCATCGCATTTTCGGGATCAAGCTCCCCAACCGGAGGCTTCTACAAGCCCGAAATTCAAGTCCTCGCTTCAATCCTGGGTGGCAAGTCCAGCATTAAATGGTCATCTGGTTTCTCGGTCCTCGGCAAACAATCTGCATCGAGCCCAGGCCTAAGCGTAGACACCAAGAGCCTTATATACTCGGATGCTGGTTTATTGGCCACTACACTTCAGGGACCTGCTGAATATATCGCCAAGGCTGCTGTTGATGTTGTTTCTACGCTTAAATCCATCGCCGGAGGGGACCTCAACACCGAGCTTTTCAAGAAGGCCAAAGCTCATGCTAAGTTCCAGGAGCTTGAATTTGGCCAGAATGTCAAATCCGGCCTTGAGCTAACAGGATCTGGACTTATCCAGGGAGGCAAAGCCTACCAAATCGACGAGACCGCCAAGGCTATCGACGCTGTGACTGAATCACAAGTCAAGACCGTATGTTTCAACTATCTTTAGTCTACAGCAGTGTGACTAACTTAATACCAGGCTGCCAAACAACTTTTAGAATCCAAGGCATCTGTGTCCAGTGTGGGAGACCTGCATCAACTGCCGTTCGCAGAGGAACTTGGCCTGACGGTGTAAATAGAGAGAATCAAGAAAAGGCGCCGGCAAGATCTCATTATATGTACACTACTACCCTGTGCTTAGTCCCAAACTAGAGCTGTACTTGTGGTATCGAAAACAGCCAATTCTATATACAGCATCTTTTATGTCAATTCGACTGTTTGTAGATGCGCTTGATAGAGTGAAACTAGCGCAGAGGGTGTGAAATCGTTATGTTCTTAATGCTCAGACGTATTACTTACTAAACGTATATGCTCTGAGTACGTGATAGACAATCTTAGGAGTCTAAAGCGAATGCCTCAGGGATGTATGAACATGGCACTTAATTTAAGAGTCACGTGATTGGAGCTCTTTGCCGACCTTAAACTCTCACTCCGGCAACCTCAATTCGCAACATTCAACCTCAAACGAAACCATCCCACAACCATCGCAATGGCCTTCGCGTGGAAAGCAGCTGGTCTTACGTACGATACACTCCCAATTGTCAACTGATTCTGACTGACGACGCGCAGCTACAACCGATACCTCGCAGTCGCGGCCCGGGTTGTTCGCCGTTCCTTGAAAGAAGATAAACGCATCGCGGCAGAGCGTCGCGGCGAGATGGAGCTACGATTCGCCAAATGGGAGGTAAGATACAGCATTTGAACTTACATGGGGGTGTCACTAACAGTCCATTTTCCAGAATGGAAAGCAAGGCGAGAACAGGTCCCTGGCAAAGGCCAACGAAGCCAGCGTGGCGGAACATTCATCCTCATAAATTACAAGGCATCCTGAAAAGAATTGAAATGCTATCTGCTGTACAAGGCGATTGGGAGGTCCACTGAGGAAGGGTGGAGACTTAGACACTGTGTATACTGTACCATATCGCGCAGTCGGCTCTGCCGCTGCTTAGACACCCGAATGTGCTACGCCTTCCAAGAGTAACTTCCAGTGACACACCAAACAACATATAATTCTCCCACATGTGAAAATAACGACTGCTTGATATGTCCGACCCTGACCCTGTCGTCGACGATGTCGTAGAAGGTCTGCCCTCCTTGCTGTGCCACTCTGGTGCGGGACAGAGCTCTAAAATTTCAAATAGCTACCTCCGCATTCCGACTCGATACGCCTGCGCAAAGCGATCGCGACGATGCAAGTCCGACCACAGGTCAAAGTAATAAGTGTCTGTCTCAACCGAACAATAGAGCTCATAATTTTCAGGTAGCTCGATCAGAGACGATCCCACTCAAGCCCATGCAGCGCCGGGGGTCCAATCACCCCAAAGCGTAGCTCATACGCAGCCCATTGAAGTGAACGGCAAAACTCGAGTCTGGGACATTACTTCCAAATTCTCGGAGGCATCCTCGGGTAAGCCTAACATGTTCACTCCTTAAGCGCACACGCTCGTTGCTTGGACAGGACGAAATATCAGAATGAAATCCACCGCCGAATACGCACTTACGCAACTTTGCTGATATATTATTCCTTAGCTCTAAGGCCTGGGCAACTTATCAAAGATGAGGACTTTACGCTATTTGAGTCTGTTGGGGCCATAGAGGTATCCCCTTCATGCTTGTGAATCTACCAAGGTCATTCGCTAAACCTTCGTAGATTATGGACCCGAAAATGGATAGTGGATTCTTAAAACCTGGAGAGACTTTAGACGACAATTATGATGTCTCAAGAGCCTTGTTACCTGAAGAAGTGGTCGGCATCATGGATCAGCTATTGTGCTACGAGGTCGCCTGGCATCATGGGTATCCTTTGTCACAGACCCTCTTCACGTCGATATATATCGACAGATTATTATGGCCTCCATCAGACTGTCTCTCCGACGCTCAATTCTACCGAGGAATTCGCCCAATGGGCCTTCATCCCCTCCTAGACGTACTCAGATCGTATTGCATTGCCCTTATCAAATGTTGTGATTTGACAATAGAGAAAGTCACTTCTAGAGACTACTACGAGGAAGAAGACTTTAGTACACATACTTATAACCGAAGTCTACTCCACACAGTACCCCACGACAAGGTCTTGGAGTTACTCCGAAGTTCGATTGAATGGTTGTCCAACAGCCGGAACAGGAGGTCAGTACATGAGAGTCGATCAAAAGTATAATATCCCAAACACTCATTAGACCTAGTGAAGTACATCGAACAAGTAGAGAGCTTGAGGAGGCACTCATCAATCGACTGACATTCCGAGAGAGAATGCTCTTGGCTGTCGCGCCTGAACAGGAGATTCTAGATCTCGCAGCAGTATGGCCTGCTGTCTCTGCGGCTTTACCACCATTGGAAGCAACGCATTCATTAGGTCGTCCTGTCCCCGACTCGTTCAGTGAGAAGATCCAGCGACGGCTCGCAAGTACCGTGCCTCCACGACCAACTGTCGATTTCACCTTCGCTGCTGCTTATACGAAGCTTGTCCAGCTCTGCAAAGACTGCGAGGATGCACTACGGGTCCTAGAGATTACGACTGAAAGTCCACAGGAGCACTTGTCTTTCATCTGGATGTTTAGCTCTCGCAAACCTGCCCCCCTGGCGTATGCGCGCTCATGTCTTTCAAGCGTATTCTTGGCGCGGACGACTGAAGGTTTCGAGCAACTCATACAAACCGATCTGTCCGAGTTTGTTTTTCCTGCTGACCCCGTCCTCGATCCAGTAAACTTCACATTGGAGGCTGCGCAAAGCAGTTTTGCCCCGCAGGATAAGCGCCTAGCAATGGCTACTATAATCAATGAATTTACAGGTAGAGCAGCACCGCAGTACTTTGACATGTGGAACAGCTTGTGTCAAAACCGATGCCGAACGCGAAGAATGATTTGCAATAACATCCCCTTCATCGACGACTTGCAGTTCGCTACTGAACAGTTGGACGACGAGTTGCATGACCTCACACATACCATGCGGTATCCCCTTAGTACCTGGGTGTATCACATGAAGCTCCGTATGGTCGAGTGGGTTGTCCAACTCGGGTTCGAGCAGGAGGTATACCTACCAGACGAACTTGCTGGAATGTATTGGTGGCTGTCCCAGGTCGCAAGTCTGCGCGCATCAGTGATTGAGCAAGTATACAATCATCTTTCGCGTCGACACGAGATCTTGAGTAATGGTGGAGAGATTGAGAAAGCAGAGACGATTCGAACTACGCAGGCCTTTGTAAAGGCACTGATGTACGAGGCAACTGGGACGGGAGCTCTCGCCGACGCGATGTATGCACTGTACATGCGCCTACATTATCTTCAGCTCGTTCCTATACTGTCAAGACCGTACAGCGAGTCATCACTGCGTTATGAGCTTCGTATGAAGCCTTTCTTACGCCTTAATCCCCCACAGATACCAACATTCGAAGCCTTTGAGGAAGCGACACGGATGCCATCAGGGTCTCAGGACGATGTCTTTGCCAAATATGATGTTGAAGGCTCTGTCAAAGAGGCGAAAGAGGCCTGGGCAGCCTTGAAAAGATTGGGGGCCAGAGCTGCAAAGAGCGAGGTCGTCCAAGCTGCATGGGAAAAGGTGAACACACTCGATGCAAGAAACGAAAACTGCTAATCGGACCACAGAACCTAGCAAGCACGATCCAATCTTGCATAGCCTGCGGAATCGCAGCCTCGACAATTAGCAATATACCAAAGGACGCGGGCACAGGGAGAGTTAAGGAGATGTTTCAGGTTGAGATCCCCGGAGAGGGAAAGCGGTATCACGACTGGTGGGTCGTGCCAAAGATCAAGCGGAATTAAATAATGCATATTCTTTCTTTAAAGATTCTAGTCATGACACTGGGGTCACATGCGAAGAGTATATCCTCATACCACGAAACTCGTCATCATTCGTTTCATCTCTGTCACCCATATCCTAGCTGCAGTACTCCAAGTAGGGCATGGCTTCCTCTAAGGTTATGAGGGTCGATAGCTGCTTTATCGCATCGCCATATAGCTTTATCGCGAGCTGCGGTTCTTAGATCCTTTAGGACGTCACATATGGATTATGGACTGAGGTCATAACTTGGATATGATCATCGATCATCGTGCGGCGCAAGCATCTTCAGCCCTTGAACTTCCTCAGCGAGTTCTGTACATTATCAGTCCCATGTCTCTGTGCCCAAGTCTCCCCTTCATAATCTCACCTCTCTAACTTTTCGAACCGAACGAGCCGAGATTCCCCGTTCCCCAGAGAGCCGTGCCTTGATTGTAGCCTCGCGCATGAGACTATTAGTGATGCGCATCAGTATACGTTCAGTGTGTCGACTCGTGTGTACGTCGGTACTTTACTAACTCTTGAATGAACAGCGTGTAGTCCAGGAATATCTGTGACAGGTTAGAAGGGTATGTGTGGGGTACGATAGAGTTGCGGACCATAATATCGACATTCTTGCTCAGATTGCGGTTGCTGTGCGCTTTCACGATGCGTTTGACTGTAGAGCGCGGGTACAGTTGTTGAGGCGCCATGATTATCTGGTACGCGTGTATGTAGGTGAGGCGGGATGTTTTGATGTTGACGTTCGAGGGTCAACACGACCAATGCTCGATGTCACGTGGGCATTACCATCTCACTGTAATCAGGAAAATGCGCTGTAATTCTGCTGCCTCGTTCGAATACGATGTGGCTCGTTTCTGATTACAGTGCTATTGCAGAAGAGTACACATTCAATCTACGGCTTCACAATTTTCATGAGTCGACCTCCATTGACTCTCCACCCTCTGCAGTGGTCTCCTCCTTATTCTCGAAAGTAGCATCCAGCCAGCCAGTCAACTCATGGCCCTCATAAAGCACGAACTCCTCGCTCACGCCACTAACACCGACCGATGTGTTATCCACTGTAAGCTCCTTGTCCTGGCTCAGGCTTTCCTTCAATGCTCTAAGCGCATGCTTGACCAAATCCTCACGGCTGCTACCAGCAAACTCGTCCAAGTTCCTCTCGAGGTAGGTCCTTGCCATCTGGCTACGTGCTCCGATCCCACATGCTAGCATCTCCTGTGTCACACCGCTCGGCTGGAACTCGAACAGATGTGGGCCCGTAGCATCGACACCAGCTATTAGGAGACCGACTCCGTATGGTCGCTTGCCGTACGATTGGGTATTACTTTGTGCACGGTCGCCAATGCGGTTGGTAATCTCAGCTAAGCCAATTGGGCGGTCATATGTGAGGCGGGACGCGAGTGATTGTTGCTTCATGAAGTTGGAGAGGACGCGAGCATCTGATGCGAGACCGGCCAAAGCGACACCGTAGTGGGTGTCAATAGGGATAATCTTCTTTTGGTAGGAGGACAGCTCTTCTGCATTTCGCTGCGAAGAAGAGGTAAGCTTTTGGTCATGGCAAAAGAGGATTGTGAATCATATTTGTACCTTCAGAGCCGCGAGAACTGCATGCGTCTTGCTGACGATCCCGACAACGACTGAGCCTTGCTTGACGGCTTCCTGTGCGTACTCTACTTGAAATATACGGCCTTGCGGCGAGCTGTATGATTGTTAGTAGCTTGTAGAGGACATATTAGGACCTCAAGATAGAGCTCACAATGTCACGGAATCGTTATCGTAGTTGTTTCTGAACATCTTGAAGTATGACTAAGTTCAGAAGCAGAGGAGGTTACTTCACAGAGCTTTGGGAAATTCAGCCGGACAGAAAGGTCACAAGTGTCTCTTTGCTAATCGTGCTGGGTGCAGAATGGCGAGTTGTAGTGTTGCGATGAGGATGAGTGTCAGAGCTGGAACTGGAAGGGCCTGATCGGGATATCTTGTGACGGAGTGCGACGAAGTTTAAGGTGTCGAGGGGGATCGAACAGATGGAGCGTTGTAGTATTCTCATCGAGGTCGTAAGAAGTCGTAAACGCGGCCGCTGCAACCTGATGAAGCTCCGGCAGGGATCATTTAAGCCTCAGGCGCCAATAACGAACCGTAAGTTAAGCTCCTCATGGATGTCACAAGTTTAGTACAAGCATAAGACCAGCCACGCGGAGTTTCAATACACCATTCTCGAGAACCAGAGCCTCTAAATATCACCCTGACATTTGAACGCATATTGGCGCTTGATTAGTATCATATTGCTCGCGGGTACCCAGATCACGTCTCTTCGCATCCTCGATCGACCAACATCGAAGCGCCACCACGATGGCCGGTCTCAAAACCATCATCGCATTATCATTTGTATGTTTGTCACTGCTCGAGGCTTGGTGGGGTAAATCAGCTCTGACCATCGTATAGGTTCTTGCGATCGGCTTCCTCTTGGTCATATTGTCGTCGGCGCTATGGAAGAAGTACTATACTCTACTTGTCGTCGCAACCTACGTCGTAGCGCCTATACCGAACTGGCTTTGCGGCAGAGCGGCAAATAATGATGACTTTATGGAAAGCTCTGGGAACGGAATCGTAGACTTTGGAAGGTTCTTGACTGGCTTCTTGGTAGTCATGGGCGTCGGTATGTTGGATCCCCAAAGACGTCCTCTGCGAGACCTCCGCCACTAATAAATGCTGTAGCCTTGCCTGCTGTACTTGCCCACTGTCATATCATCGCCAACCTTGCTATGGTCATGTCCATTATCGGGGGGTTCCTCATCTACGGCACCATAATCTCCTTTACAATGTTCTTTCAGGAGGATGAAGAGTTTTGAAGTACATCAGATGAAGGGTGTGCCGATGGTTTGCGCAGGAATTTCACGACGCTTTGGAGCACAGCAGGGTCTCATAATATGGAATGTATGATCTAGCAACTATAATTCGTTCCGAAACGGCGTATAGAGGCATGGAGCAGTTCATCATCACGAGTACCGGATCACAACAGCACTAGACACGCACTACTTTTGGCTTCGTCGGGAGACCTAGTAACAGAAGTCTGGCGAAAGGCAACAGCTTGATTGATATGAATACGTAGTGTACAAATCTGATCCTTACGCCGCAAATTTGACGTAGACTCATTATGCTCAGAGGCATCGCTAATTCGAGATATATGCTACTACAACTACCGTCTTCATAGCGCAAGATTGTATGTGTATTCATCCTCCATGTTCTGCACAATCCATAGGACGACGGAACTACACTCAGTGTTAGCGTCTCGTTTGAGATCTCCTTCTCATAAAGGCATACCTGAGCATAATGAGGCCGTTTGCGATGACGTTGGCAATACCGAACCAAAGGGTCTGCAAAGGGTATTCGTGTATGACATACTTCAAAACCATGACACTCTGTGCAGCAGTCAATATTGATCTAGAGGGTGTGATTCACGGTGACATACAACTGATCCAGCCAATCCACCAGCCATCAGCGCAAACCCGAAGAACAGGACGGCCTTGGCTTTCCAAGCAACCCCATTTCCAGAATAGCTGAAACTGTCTGCACTCAGTCTGGTCTTGTCGATTGAGTTAATCACCAGCATGCCGAGGGCAGAGCAAATGCCAGGTATCCAGTCGATGAACGTGATGTGGATTTCGGAACCATTGCGTTTAGATTTGGAGAAGGCGCAGGCGTCGATAAAGAAGTAAAAGCCGAGAGAGAACTAGATAGCGCCTTGTTAGCAAGACAGAAGATACATCTCGGATGCTACGTCAAGTTACCAGAGCTCCGGCGATGTAGACGCCTGCCGTTCGACTATTGGCGTTGTTGAGCCACTGAGGCTTTGGGAATCGGAAGAGCCTATGCTCCGACATATCTACAATAGTAACACGTAGCGGACTGTGGTATTTGAGTGGTGCTTATCTTCTCGCGATTCGTAGTGATGTCGCTGGTGTTCTGGCTGGAGGCTTGAATGCTGGCGCGGAGGTGGAAGCAGGCGCAGACTGAAGCTCCACTAGTAGACTTTAGAAGCTAGGCTCGATTTGTACTAGGTACACAATTAAATATCCCCCGGTATTCTGCACCATCCTCTTCTTCCTACCGCAAAACGAACGAAACTCGAGCGCATTCTTGACATGGCGCCTACAAAACCACAATCCAGCAAGAGCAGAAAGCCACCAAGCTCGGGTCCGAAAGGCAAGGTTGGCAAGTCGAAACCTAAAGGTCCTCCGCCAAAACCGCAGCAAGTCAAGACGAAGCGACCGACATCGTCTGCAAAGCCAAAGCGCAAGGTATACACAGAAAAGGAACTCGATATTCCAAAACTGAATATGATCACTCCGGCTGGTGTGCAGAAGCCCAAGGGAAAAAAGAAAGGCAAAATTTTCGTGGATGACCAGGTACGGTTCCTATCTCAAGTTGCCCTAACGAGGTCTGATCATGATCGTAGGAGAGCATGATGACCATTCTTGCCATAGTAAATGCAGAGAAAGAAGGGCAAATCGAGTCAAAGATGATGAAGGCGAGACAGATGGAGGAGATTCGTGAAGCCAGACGTCAAGAGGCGGAAGCACGACAACAGCATAAACGGGAAAAACTTGTAAGTGTTGTGGGCCCTGTATTATTGAGTTCCTGCTGACGCTTTTGTTTAGGAGGAAACCAAGGATTTAATTCGAAAAAGTCGCAAGCGAAAGTCGGACACCACCTCCACGGATGCTGAGAAAGTCGCAAAGACGGAGAAGCCCGGCAAGAAGCGTGTCTCTTTTGGTTGATTTTATATCTATCCAAGCTCTATCGATCTATATATTTGCACCACTGCACTCTCGAGAGGACTACTGGCCAGCAGAAACATGTAGGCGCCGCCTCATGGGGTCAAATGCGCTACCCATATTCGAGTGTTCAGCAGTAGAGGAAAGGGCGCCGACAGCCTTGAGATCTGTCTCAAATGCCATTCTATTGAGAAATGCGGCGACCTAGAAGGCATCAGTGGATATCTTGTTGCATGGGCTATGTTACCTACAGGCTTGGCGAGCCAGCGCTGGCCTCCAGTCTCGAACCAACTCAGATGGCCCCCCAGGGACGTTGTCAGAAGAACAGTAAAAGGGTTTTGTTTGAATTCACCGTATGGAATGGCATCGTTGGCGGCGATCTAGAGATCAAATCAGCAAAACGCCAGCAGACACCGATTCAACAACACAAACCGGGTCATCTTCCGCGTTGATGGCCAGAAAAGGGATCCTGACGGACAAAAGTGAATCGCAGGACGAAGCGTCACGGTAGTACGCTCTCTCGGTAGGATAGCCCCATGTGGGACATTGTATCACACTAGACAATTACATAAGAAAAGATCCATCCAGGGTGGTTTGTACGAACCGGTCGAACTCGTGTAGGTATTTTGTCTTTCGGAGCGCGTCAAGGTTAATCGCCGTGTACTTTGACACCTCTTCGGCATGACTAGACTTGTCAGTGCGAGATCACGCATTCTTTGGACATGGATCTCACCGCTCGATTAATGCTTTCATGTTAGTTCCCATAGTCTTGGAGTATACCTCCATCCCGACCCACGATCTCTGCAGAGCGACACTGCTGGCGTCGAGATCCCATGGGTTTGAACAGACTACGGCAGCTTTCAATGCACAGTTCGCGCCCTCCTCACCGATGTACTAGGCAAAGTCAGCTTGTGCGATGTTGTAAGCCATATCTAGAGATACCCTACATTAGTGATAATATTGGCGCCAAGTGAGAAGCCTATGCCAAACAGTGGGCGGTTAGGAAAGGTTTTCCTCAGCCACTTGACTACTTGACGAACGTCCCATGTTGCACGGGCGTTATATAGAACTCCGGATGTGACCTTTGACATGGCACACCCTCTAGAGTTTACGACGCACGCCTCCCATTCCTGATTCTCGACCAGGGGTGCTAGACACTGTCGAAGATAGATCTCATATGAACCGCCGCTGAGACCATGCAACGCTATTAGCATCGGCTTCGAATTGCTCGAGCCAATGTTGTCAAACTCTTTTTCCGTGAAATATGTCGTTCGTGCGGGCAGAGTGGTATCCACCTCGCCACGCTCATGAACGACAAAATCAACAGTGAAGCTGCCGATGAATTCTGTGCCTTCTGACTGGAATATCTTTCGTTTGTAGTGCATTTGAGGTCCCTCAGCCTTGACTGCTGTCCACATGGTTTGAAGATGTCCATTGAAAAGGAGCGGGTTCAGCCGGCATGGCGGGGTCGTATTCTTGCAAAAGTCATCCAGACCTTCTTGCGTTCCATCCTGCAATGGTATCTTAATTGCAGCCGGCGAATGATGGAACGAGTTTGTGGCATAGCCTAACCATGATGATAGACCCATGACTGTGATCGCCCGATGGTGATAGAATGGAGGCTCTGCAAATTGGCGAAATATCTACACACATATATAAAACGTGTTCACTTTGCGGACTTTATATGATAATCAGGTCAATGCACAGCTGTACTTGCCTCGGCCGGCGCGAATGTGTAACAATCCCCGATGCGGCGTGGGATTCCGTCCGTCCATGCATCTGGCATCCATGTTCGCGCACGCAACACGTGCTGACGTGATGGACGCGCTAGTGGTTCTGCCTAAGGTTTCACGGTCGCAACGACGCAACCACAGCCAAGTGCATCCCCATACCACACCACGCCCTGGCTTCCGACTCTCCATGGTGCCGTAGGGAGAAGCTTCGTGTTGACACCAGTCTCTCTGACGATGTTTGCCGCCTGTAGATCACGGAAATAGTGATGTCGTACCCATACCAGAATCAGTATCCCAATAATGGCAATCAGTACTATCCGCCGCAGTACCCTCAACCGCAACCTGGACAGTATATGAGTTCGGTTTCGACGAATCAGCCCCAGGCCCCTCCGACGTACCAAGCACCCCCACCGCAATACCCTCAGCCCAACTACGCGTTACATGGAAACCCTAGAGCTTACTTCAACAACCAGAACCCCCAACCATATATACAAGCTCGGCCTCAACCGCAGCAGCAACCATACGGGCAGCAAGTACCAGGACCGCGTTCTATTACCTCGACGGCGGCGCTACCGCACCAACAGCAGCAGCAGCAGCAGCCTCCTCCGCCTCAGAGACCCTCATCAGGAACACAGAGACCAGCGTCTGGACATCATGGGCCGCCTCCTACAGCCCCGAGAACCCCGAATCCCTCCCTGAAAGCTTCGACCCATTTGACATCTTCACAGCCTCCTCAAAGTGCACCTGCAGCAACAGATCAGCCATCATCTTCTTTTGCCCCGGTGGCACATAGGCCTACAAACTACCAAACGCTTTTATTGTCTCTTGCAGAACATTATGTTGAAGCTGCCCACCAGCTTGGGCCTATGGCTGCTCTGCCGGGAAATGCTGAGGATCTGAAGAGATATCGCAAATTGATGGCGACGGCGCTGGGATGTTTTCAAGCAGTGTTAAAGACGTGGAAATTCGCGCCGCGTGATGAGGCCCTGGTACGATTACGCTATGCTGTACTACTATCAGAGGAAACAGTAAATCAGCATGAGGTGGAGGAGGTGCTGAGCAAAGGCATACAAGTATGCGACAGAAACAAGATATACGATTTGAAGTACAGCATGCAACATCTGGTAGCACGAGAGCTGTTTAAGACGAACCCACGCGCTGCGCTGAAAACGATCGACAAGATCCTGCCAGAGGTTGAAGCGTACGTAATGCATTCCTGCCGATCTTGACATTAATTGACTGGGACAGAGAGCAACACACACCGTGGGTATACGCCTTCAGCTTCTTGAGGGTGACCTTAGCTCTCCAATATCCCTCGCAGATGGAGGTGTCGTCTACAGTACAAACACTACGAAACATTTCTAATCTAGCAGAAGACAAAGCCGATATATCCGTATACACGACCTGCAAGGCCTTGGAGGCATTGATCCATCTCCGAAGCACTAACCTAGACAACCTCTTGGCAACGCGCGAGGCCATCGCGGACGCTCGTGCCAAACAGCTAGCGATCAAAGGTCAGGATCTGTCCCCGGTGATAGCAATGCTCGACATGGTTGATCTCGCGACTTGTCTGCGCTCGGGCGATTTTGGGCAACTTCCCGAGAAACTGAGCAACCTGCATAACTCGCTTGATGAGCGGCTCCATGCGAGTAGCTCGATGCAAGACAACACGTTCTCCGTGCTCATTGATCAAGGGGCTGGGGGCAAGTTGACGACAAGCACGAGCGGAATCTTCCGGAGGTCCTCGGACGGCCGCGATATGCTCGTGTTTTCATGGCTCGCACGGGGTGATTTGTCGGCGTTGGGGTACTTTCTGAGTGGCATTACGACCTTTATGAAGCAGAGCGAGTCCTTTACGAAGCCTGAGAAGTATCTCCGCGAGGCACTCAAGCAGATGCGGTGTAAGAGACAGCACGTTCTTGGAGTTGTAACTTTTGGACCGACTAACCCGCTCTAGTGTCGAGACAAGACAAGACCGGCCAGACGTCCATCCCCGAGACAGAGAAACGAATCGGATGGCAGGCAAGCCTCGAATGGTTCATCCAGCTCCAGCTCGCGTTCATCTCCTGCACCCACAGGGACTGGCACGGCGCGCAGAAGACGCTAACACACCTCAAAGACACCCTCTCCGACGTCTCCACCCAAAACACCGAGCTCCCCCTCCAATTCGTAACATACCTGACCGGCATGACAGAACAAGGCCTCGGCAACCTCGACGAAGCCCTCACAATCTACCAATCCCCCTGCCTCACCCTCCCGGACGAATCCAAATCCCGCCCCGGCGACCCCGCCAGCGACCTCCGCATCCTCTCCTCCATCGCCCAACTCTTCATCCTCCAACACCCCGCCCACCCCCACAACTCCCTCTGCCCCATCCTCCTCGCCGCCCTCCAGCCCCTCTGCAAACACCACCCAAACCTCAACATCCGCGCCGCCTTCGGCCTCGTCTCCGCCTTTGCCACCCAGCCCCCCAGCGTCGTCCACTCGAAAGACTGCATCCACAAAGCCCTCATCGCAACAAAGGCCTCGGGCAACGCCCAGCTGCTCGCCGTCCTCTTCACCGCCATGGCAGATCGCTTCTTCAGAGGTACGGCCGGCGATCAGAGCTCAAAGGGCGCGAAGAGTGCGCGCATTACGACGGCGCGTTGGGGTGATCCGCTGTGGAAGTGTCTTGGTGCGCATCTTGCGTGCGACGATTATGTGTTTAGGGGGAAGGCGGTGGAGGCGGAGGCGGCGAGGCGGGAGATGGCGGCGTTGTTGCCCGGGTTGCCGGAGGGGTTGAAGGGGGGGTTGCTCGGACATGGGGTGGGTGGGTGATGGTGGTGGTGGAGATGGAGATTGTTCGAGACACGGGGGTAGCATGATAGCATGATAGCATGATAGCATGATATATATATACTATTGCGTTACACCACACGTCACCGTCATCATGCTTTACATATATATATACGTGTGTGTGTGTGTGTTCGTATGTATCCAAGTACCCAACAAGCACGTGCCAAGATATGTTACGATTCCATCCATACGTCCATACAGACTATCTAGACATGAAACGGTATTATATGACGGAACAGTGTAGTAGCAGGCACGTGGCGTACACATATATACATACAAAGATCAAGAGGAGAGGGTAAGATGGCAACATGATATAATGGTGTTATAGGGCACGGCAGGAACACAACAGGCACGGCATGAAGAACAAGCACAAGCACAAGCACGATGACAACCAGGCAAAGTGCATGCACAGCATCAGCATCAGCATGCATGTAGACGTCAATTCATTCAAGACTTGATATCATTCCGTATCCCAGAGCAATTGGTATATAATTCCCCCCAGATCTCCCAATCCACCCCCCAAAAAAGCCATCTCGCGGCGCCGCAAGCCCCGTTCGGTATATCCCATACTCCATTCATTTCATAGCACCGGGGTGACACACGACCGTGTAGCCCACCATCCCCCATACATCGTCCCGCACTCTCACCTTCATATATAAATGGTATCATGCAAAAAGCGCCCCCTCCCCCCCCCCCCCCCCAAAACCCACGGTGGTCCTCCAATCCTCTAATGCACACTCAACCGCCGCTCAACCGTATCCTGCTTCTCAATAATAGCAGGCGGCTTCTCGATGCGCATGCGCAAGATATGGCGCTTGACAAAGTACGGCAGCCAAACGGTCGTCTCGTAGTGGAGGAAGTTCCTGGTCGGCACGCTAAAGACGCCGTCGAGCTCCTCGAGCGTGAGCTGTTTGGTCTCGCGCACAAAGCAAAAGACCATGCCCCAGGCAATGAGGTTGAGGCCGGCGTAGAAGCCAAAGGCGCCGGTGGGGGTCATGACGGTGCGCATGCGCGGAAAGGTGAGGGAGAGAATGCCGGCAAAGGTGTTGTTGATGCAGACGGCCCAGGCCATGCCCTGCTCGCGCTGGATGGTGGGGAAGACCTCGGCGGAGTACTGGAAGGCGACGGGCCCCTCGCCGAGCGAGTACATGATGGTGAAGAGGTAGACGAAGAGGACGACGGGGCCGACCTTGGCGGCCTGGCTGACGCCTTCTTTGTTGTTGAGCAGCGACAGGCCGGCGGCGAGGAGGAAGATGCACATGAAGGGGAAGGTGGCGAGGGTGAGGGTGCGGCGGCCCTTGGTGTCGATGAGGAAGAGGGTCGGGATGGTGAAGACGACCTGGACGGCGCCGTAGCCGAGCGAGGCGAAGAGGGCCTGGTCGGGCGTGTAGCCGGCCTCGGTGAAGATGGTGGAGCTGTAGAAGGAGATGACTGAGGGATATGTTAGCGAGAGATTACAACAATCAATATAGCAATCAATAAAGCAATCAATATAGCAATCAATATAGCAATCAACATAAAAGATGGTCACTCACTGTTGATGCCGCACATCTGCTGGGCAAGCATGACGGTCGAGGCACCGTAGTTGGCACGTCGGATTCGGGGCACGCGGAAGCAGTCCCAGAGCCGGGTAAAGTAGCCCATGCCGGCGGCAACCTTGATCTCCTCCTGGTAGATGACATAGGAGTAGTAGTAGTCACGGGCGGCGATGATGGGGTGGGCGCGCAGGATGTTCATGGACCGATAGCCCTGGGCGACCTTGCCGCTCTTCATGAGCCAACGGGGCGACTCTGGGCAAAAGTAGATGCCGACCATGAGGATGAAGGAGGGGATGAAGGCGGAGCCGAGCTGGAGACGCCAGGAGATGTCGCCGGTGTCCTTGACGATGACGTTGGCGCAGAAGCCCAGGAAGATACCCGCAACGACCCAGAGCTGCCAGAACATGACGAGCGCACCGCGAATGCGGGCGGGGGCCATCTCGGCCGAGTAGATTGGCACGGTCGCGTTCTTTGCGCCAATGCCGATGCCCATGACGAATCTGGCAGCGAAGAGACCTTGCCATGACCTGGCGAAACCGGAACCGATGGGAGTGGCCGTCAGACAGGCCGCCGTGAGAAAGATTTCGCCGCGTCGGCCGAGATATTTGTTGAGCGGATCGACGATAAAGGCACCACTGTGCAGGAGCTGGTTAGTGGGCGATTCAAAAGGCAGAGAAGCAGAAAAGACAGGGAAAACTCACATGAGACCGGCGGTCAAGAAGATGATGGCGTTGATGGAGCCGACAATCCATTCGTTGCGGCCGGTTCCAGTAATGCCAAACTCCTCGGGAAAGGACAAGTTGGCACCGTTGGAGCCAGTCTGGTCCCAGCCCTGTGTGGCCGCCCCGACGGCGCAGAGGCCGATGGAGTACCAGAGCATCTTGGGGCCGTGCCACTTGTGGTCCCGCTCGTAGATGAGGGCGGCGCGTTCGTCGGCGGACAGCTCGGCGAGGGCCTCGAAGTTGTCGGGATCGCGGGCGACGAGGGCGGCGCGACCAAACAGGTCGGAGTGCTCGTCCAGGCCATTTTGCTCGGCGAACAGCTTTGCGTCGGCATGGGCGACCTCCTTGGAGACACGCTGCGGGGGGCATGTCAGTCGGTGGGCTGGAGGGAATTGACATGTAGGGACAGGCTTACCTTGAGCGGGTTCTCGACGATGTTGAGAGCTACGGATTCGCGACGACCACCGCCGCCGAGTTCATCGATTAGCTCCGGAGAAGGGGCCGAGCCAGTCTTTTCGTTGCCGGAAGCATAGGCGACTTCTTGCTTCTCGTCAGCCATGGTGGAGGAGGGATTGGAGGGCTTGATGTCAGGCAGCAGCAGCAGCAGCAGTAGCAGCAGTAGCACCAAGCAGTTGAAGAAGGGGAAAGAGGGGAGGGAAGTGGGAGGAAAGAAAGTGGCAGAGTGGGAGGAGAGTGGCAGATGTTATAGAAATAGAGAGAGAGAGAGAGAGACAGAGCTGGGGAGAGCTCTGGGGGAGCTTGGGGAGGATTTGAGGGGGGGGGGATGGGGCCGGAAAGACAAGGACAAGGGTTTCTGTGGAGAGAGAGAGAGAGCCAATGATGGAGGTGGAGAAGAAGTGAAAAGGATTGGAGCAGGACAAAAGCCAGGTTAGCGAATCTCCACCTCCAGACTCCAGACTCCAGACTCCAGACTCCAGACTCCAGACTCCAGAGTGTGTCCCAGAAAAGTTCCAGAAAAGAAAGAAGGACGGGATGAAAAGGTGGAGTGGTAGTAGTGTAGTGTAGTGTGTTGGTGGGTATAGTGTAGTAGTGTCAACAAGCCCAAGCCATCAACGGGTCCGGGCAAGCATGCATGACTTTGAGAGCTCCACAGCCGCAGCTAGGAGTTGGTAGGAGATTTTGGGAGTGGTGGTAGTGTGGTAGGAGGAGTACGGCTACGACTACGCCTTTGGATGCGACGACAGGGCTCGGACGGGGTCAGCGCGCAGGGTCAGCTCGAGTCAGTGGGTAGACTAGGAGGTTGTGAAGGGATGGAATGAATGACGGAGTGTGACAGTGACAGTGAGTGTGCAGTGCATCATCCATGTGCATCTTCTATTATATATGTACGAATGATGTTTCTATTGGCAGTATCAGAACATGGAGCATCACCATGATTGCCATGCTGATGGCGATGCCATCAGCATTGCCATTGCTACGATTGCTAACCCACTCATAATTACACAACCATGGGCCAGTCAGTGTACGGTAACAAGGGCGAGCCAAGACACACAACAAATACAACAACATACACACGGCTGAGATTGGAGTGTGAGATGAGGGATAGGACGAGTCAAGACAGCAGCAGTGCACATGACCGAGATGGGCGTCAGTCTTGACGATGTTGTACTATTAATGTTACTCTCATCAACATCAACATCAACATCATCATGATTGCAACTGTCAGAGTCATCGCCGTCGCCGTCGCCGTCGCCGTCATCGTCACCGTCACGCCGCCAGCTAGCAAGATCCGTCAGATCCAGGCCAACACGCCAAGACAAAGGCCCAAGCCTCGTCCGAGCTTGGAAGTCTGTGCCGCAATACGCAGACTGTAGTATACACGTGACTATGCCCACATCTACGCGGCAGTCCCGCCCTTTTTACCCCGCCCGTCCCCCCCAAAGTAACGCCCAGTCCCCCCGCCCAGTTCAAGTCAAGTCACGGGTCACGGGTCACGGGTCATTGGCTGTGTATCACTTGGTATTCTTCACTTGTCCCGTCCGTCTCACGTTTGCCGTCAGCCTTCCTTCGAGGTCGCGTGAGTGTGTGTGTGTGAGTGAGTAATGGTGTGTGTATATGCAAGTGTATGTGTACGGATGTTAACCTTGTTGCTTACTGCGCCTTTGCCTGCACTGTACTATCCCGTATTCTAATACTCTGCATACACGTATAGTATTCGTATTCCCCCTTCCATTCTTCCCCATCCGTGTGTCGTTGTCTTGGCCTGTCGTCTTGGGGGGAAAATGGAAAATCGCGCGTTCCTGTCAGGCATCAGGCATCAGGCATCAGGCACCAGGCAGGGACCAGGCAGGCATCAGGCAGGCATCAGGCAGGCATCAGGCAGGCATCAGGCAGGCATCAGGCAGGCATCAGGCATCCAATCCAGCGTCTACTACAGTCACTACAGTCACTACACTCATCTACTACACTCCACATACTAATTACACGCCATACACTAATCACAGTACATGCCATATTATATACACTACACTGCGCTACACTATCTACACACACACACACACACACACACACGCACATACTGTATATCTTGGCCTTTGTCCCGCTCCTCCAAGACACCGTCACCAACTGCCGCCTTACCACTAACCGCCCGCCACCAAAACGCCTAGCTGTACATTTTCCCCGGACATGCCGTCTGCGGCGTCTGTGAGCCTTGTCTTCCCAACCGCAACCGCTCTATCCCAAAACTAAACAAACACACACCGTCCGCCGTCCACCGTCCACGCCACTCCAGACCATCGTGCTCGCTCACATCCGTGATTTCTATTATTCTTTGCTACTACATACTACATACTACATACTATTACATAGCTAGTTAATAATTATTGTCCAAACCTTCCCCCAAGCAGCCAGCCATCTCCGGCCATGTCCAAGACGTTCTGACTTGTGTGTGTGTGTGTGAACTGGCACAAACGGCCCGACTGTTGCACTCTCTCTTGGATTGCACCCTTGTTCTGGATCTGCACAGAGCCTCAAACGCTCATGGCCGCCAGGGTCTGGTCATGTACGAACCTACTACTACTATTACAAACATGTACAGTGTACATACATATACATGCATGGCACGGTCCAGTGCGTGCAGTGCGTGCGTGCAGTAATTAGATGGTCTAATTAGCCGTGTCTTGTCTGTCTTGTCTGTCTTGTCTGTCTTGTCTGTCTTGTCTGTCTTGTCTGTCTTGTCTGTCTTGTCTGTCTTGTCTGTCTTGTCTGTCT